TTATACAATCATAAAAGGAAAACATTAGGTTATTTTCATTTTGGGAAAAACCAAAAAGGTCACTACTGGGTCAAAGGTTAAGCTCGGTTTTTTGGCTTTTTATATCTACCTAGCAAAACTGCCCTATAGAAAGGGTATCCTGATTTCAGTTCCTACCAACCAACAAACACCTCACACAAACCCTTACAGTCACCAAGCATTATAATTTTTTTCACTTTTTTCACTTTTCTGAGACAGGGTCTCACTGTGTCACTGGAGTACAATGGCACAATTCTGGCTCACTGCAGCCTCGACTGCCTGGATTCAAGTGATCCTCCTGTCTCAGCCTCCCAAAGTGCTAGGATTACAAGCATGAGCCACTGTGTGCGGCCTTAATTTTTTTCACTTTTGCCAATTTCACAAATGAAATTTTTTCTTTTTAATTTGAATTTTATTACTATAGTAAAACTGCATTTTAACGCACTTATTTGCTGACTACTTGTTATTTCTTTTAGAGATACTGTGTTCAGCTACCATGAAAAAGAATGCAGTCATGTCCTTTGCAGCAACATGGATGGAGCTGGAGACCATCATCCTAAGTAAACTGACTCAGAAACAGGAAACCAAATACTACATGTTCTCACCTATATATGGAAGCGAAATGGTCACAAAGATGGAAATAATAGACACTGAGGATACCGATAAGAGTGAAGGGTCAGGGGAATTAGAGTTCAGAAACTATTTATGGGGCATAATGTTCACTATCTGGGGAATGAGCCATCTGAGACCCAATCTTCACCACTACACAATATGTCCCTACAACAAAGATGTATGTGTACCCCTGAACCTAAAAAATAAATAAACACTAGAAACCATCAAGAGAGTGAGGAGACAGCACACAGACTGGGAAAAAATATTTGCCCACTGTATGTCTGACAAAGGCCTAACATTTAGGATCTACAAGGAACTCAAATGTGCCGCAAAGAAAAAAACAAACAGCCCCATTACAAATTGGGCAAAAGATATGAATAGACACTTCTCAAAAGAAGACACATGAGCGGCCAACAGAGACATGAAAAAATGCTCAGTCTCACTAGTCATCAAGGAAATGCAAATTAAAACCACACTGAGATACCACCTAACTCCAGTCAGGATGGTCATCATCAATAACTACAAAAACAACAGGTGCTAGAGAGAACGCAGGGGGAAAAGGAACACTTCTACTCTGTTGGTGAACTGTTGGGGGGAGTGTAAACTAATACAACATCTGTGGAAAACAGTGTGGCAATTTCTAAAAGATCTAAAAATCAACCTCCTATACGACCCCACAATCCCCCTACTGGGAATATACCCGGAGGAACTCAAAGCACTCTAAGAAAAAGATACCTGCATATGCATGTTTATTGCAGCACTAGTCACAATAGCAAAAACATGGAACCAACTGTGCTGCCCATCAAAAGAGGACTGGATTTTTAAAAATGTGGTATTAGCCAGGAGTGTTAGCACGTGCCTGTAGTTCCAGCTATTTGGAAGGCTGAGGCAGAAGAATCCCTGGAGACCAGCAGGACGAGGCTGCGGTAGCCAGGAGTGTGTCACTGCCCTCCAGCCTGGGTGACAGAGTGAGACTCCAACTCAAAAAAAAAAAAAAATGTGGTATATATACACAATGGAATATTACACAGCCATAAAGAAGAACAAACTTACTAAGTTCACAGCAACTTGGAAGGACTCAGAGTCTATCATACTCAGTGATCTATCACAGAAACAAAGAACAGAGTACCACATGTTCTCACTCACAAGTGGACCTGGAACAATTATAATACTATAAGAAAGGGATTGGCAGTAGTGGAAACTGCAGAGGATGGAGAGGAGGCGGAATGGAAACTGCCAGGGGAGGGGGGCACACCTCATCAAGTGTACCTGCATAATGAACATTTGTATACCTAGCCCTGAATTGTACCTCACATCTTAAAAATAAAAAATCTTTTTAAAAAATTTAAAAATAAATACTGTAAAAAAAAATTTTTAAACATTAAAAAATATAGTAAAGAAATATTATGTTTATATCCTTTGATCTTCTCAGTATTAGAGTGTACATCTTTTCTTTTACTTTGGAAAGTATATTTTATTTAAGTTATGAAACTCATCCATTCATACAGGCCACAAATATTTTCCTTCTTTATTATTTGCTTTGTTACTCTGTATCTTTTGTAGATATTTTCAACATTTATGTAATGAAAACCTATCAATTTTTCTTTCATGCTTTCTGCTTTTGGTAGTATACTTTTAAAGTCCTTCTCCATTTCATGATTATATAAAAACTAACATTTATTTATTTATGGTTCTCTTATGGTCTTGTTATTTTTTATTTGCCTTTACTCTTTAATCCTATCTTTTCAATTAGATTTTTTTTTTTTTCTAAGAGATGGGCTCTTGCTCTGCCACATACGCATGATTGCAGTGGCCGGATCACAACTCAGAACTCCTGGGTTCAAGCGATGCTCCCACTTTAGCCTCCCAAGTAGCTAGAATTATAAGCGCACATCACAATGCCCAGGTAACTTTTTAATATTTATTTTTTGTAGAGACAGAAACTCGCTATGTTGTCCAAGCTGGTATCAAACTCCTGGCCTCAAGCAATCCTCTTGCCTTGGCTTCCAAAAGCACTGGAATTTACAGGTAGGAGCCACTGTGCTCAGCCAGATTTTTACATTTTTTTTTTTTTTTTTTTTTTTTTTTGAGTTGGAGTCTCACTCTGTCACCCAAACTGGAGTGCAGTGGCCGCTTCCGGCCACCGCAGCCTCGACCTGCTGGACTCTGGAGATCCTTCCTCCTCAGCCTTCCGAGTAGCCGGAATTACAGGCATGCGCTACCACGCCCGGCTAATTTTTGATTTATTGTAGAGATGAGGTCTCGCTGCCCCAGGCGGGTCTCGAACCCGCGGGCTCAGGCAATCCACTCACCTCAGCCTCCCAAAGGCGTGGGATTACAGGCTGAGCCACCGAGCCCGGCTGATTTTTACATTTTTAATACAAAAATGTATTGATAAATATCTTAAAATCACGCATAATTTTTACCATGTTAACTAATTGTTTTTGTACATTTTCCTCTCATCTTCATTCATTTCATTAAAATTTCTATTTACTGAGGAGACATGGTAAGCATTTTACAAACATTATCTCTTTTAATCTACACAACTCTGTGAGTTAGAAATTATATTCCTATTTTATAGAAGAGGACACTGAGGCTGAAAGGTTAAGAACTTGTCGAAGTTAGTTTGTTAGTCAGTAGCCATTTGAACACAGCTAACCTCTACATTTATATGGATAGTATAAAATAATTTGTATTCTGCTTGTTTAACTACACATGATATTTAATATTATATTTATTCCTAAAATCATAATGTTTTAATAACAGCATATATTTAACACAGTGATATACCACAATTTAATTATTTCTTTTTATTGAAAATTTGAAATGCATCCTGGTTTTCACTGGTATGTATAACCCTGAAATGAAAATTATTATTTTTTATCTTTCTAAGTTATTTCCCTAAGTAAGCATATTATAAGGTCAAATGATGCAAATTCTTTATGTGGCTGTTAATTAAAGTATGTTAGATTGCTTTCCAAAAATGTTGCACCTGTTAGACTGATAAGGCTGTATAGACTTTTGCAGTCTCATTAACTTTAGGATGACTTTTTTAAAAATTAGATTTTAAACTTTCTAAAATCCTGTTTTCCTTTCTTCTTATAACCCAGGCTTTTTTAACTAAAATAAAAATATAGGACAGAGATTTTCTAGCACAACCCTTTATTTTATTTTGAACAAGCTGGGCATGGTGGCGCACACCAGTAGTCCCAGCTACTGGAAAGACTGAGCAGAGTGGCTCCTTCAGCCCAGAAGTTTGAGGCTGTGATGAGCCATGATCATGCCACTGCACTCTAGCCTGAGCAACAGAGTGAGACCCCCAACTCAAAAAAAAGAAAAAGAACAAAATGAGACCCGGAGATTACAAGACTAGGCTGTGTTCACCTGCCTCGCCCCATCAGAGTCAGCCATTCTAGTTATTTGTACTGGCCATAAAAACACTATGACAATCAGGCATAGTGACTTAGCCTATAAACCCAACACTTTGGGAGGCAGAGGTGGGAGGACCGCGTAGGCCAAGGACTTAGAGACTGTAGTGAGCGATGATCACACCCCTGCATTCCAGCCCGAGCTGCAATGAGATCCTGCCTCTAATACATACATACGTTTACTCTGTATATATGCTGTAAAGATGTTATGTTAGATTCCTCTCTATTACACATAATACTGAACATTTCACTTTTAGATTTCCGTACAAATTAACCAGATATTAACTTGCTGCTTCCAGTTCTGACACTAGTTATGGGTTGGGTATAATCTTAAACTCCTCTCAGAAGAATTTAAGATTTGAAGTTTCTTTATGAGAGTAAGGGGGTAATGGTTGAACGATATGCCAAACAAACTTTTATCCCTATTAAGAAATTCGCTAGCACACACGAAATGAATCAAGTTTGGATTACTGTACACACAAATCCAATTAGAGCCCTCAATCAGCAGGCCTAAAAGTAACGAAGCAAAAGACCATAGAAAAATAGAAGAAATGAATGTTTTCATACTTCTCTTTACCAGAAACACCCTCAGATCCCTTCTACTAAATATGTTCATGGGGCCAAAAACACATGACTGGCGTTGAGAGTGTGTGATCACAAGAAGGAAAGGGAAGGCAGCACGTGCCAGCAAGTGACTGAACGGGTAAGTTTGGAGCCTACTTCATACCAATAAGACAAATAATTTCTGAAATTTCCTCTCCTTCCTTCCACCAGAATAGGCTAAAGAAAATTTCGTGGCAGTAAAACCATCTGTTTACCCAGAACATTTGAACGCCATCAAGATTGTGATGACGAGAAAGCGTGCCGGGAGGTTTGCTCAAATGTCGTGTTGAGAGTCAGAGAAAATTCCCACCCGCAGCATCCAGCTCTGGGGCTCCTCACCATGTGCATCGCCTCCTCCATCCACTTCTCGATGTCCTCCGCCGGCAACGAGCACGCGCCGCCTGCCGCCGGCGTGGACGCCTCCCTCACCTCCATCCTGCAGTGGCCGCCGCTCAGAGCCAGAGTCCGCGGCGGAGGTGGAGCGCAGGAAGCGGAACGCAGGAGCGCAGGTCGCAGTTTCCGGAGGAAGTCGAATGGCAAGACACCGGGAGCGATTTCTGAACGGACCTGTGAGCTCCGGACCAGTAAGCGGCGGCGGCGCGGCGGCAGCCGCAGAAAGCGCAGCTGCTCCTCAGTAGTCCACGCCCCCTTCACGCTCCGGTGACAGTCCCTGCGGAAAGTCGCGTTTGTGATTTCTCGAGAGGAGCGAGCGAGACCACGTCGTTCCTGCCTGGTCGTCTGGGGCAGGTGACGACGAAGCGGTATCCTGGTGAACCAGCCCTTCATCCCTGGGCAGCCCACACTCCCGGGGCCTCAAGATGCTGAGGTCTATGTGGAATTTTCTGAAACGTCACAAAAAGAAATGCATCTTCCTGGGCACGGTCCTTGGAGGTGGGTGACAGCGTGCTTGGAAAGGGGCATTGGGAGAAGGGGGTGGGAGAGGTGACATTTTTCTAAAATAGGGAGAGGCCCGGCTATCCTAGTCTGGGATATGTAGAGGGAACCCCATCAACCATCGGGTGAGGAGCAGGGTGGCCAACCTCCAAGGTTCTCCCATCTCTGTATTTGGGGAATTCTCTGTACCTTTTGCCCTGCCACTGCCTCTTTGTTTCTCGCCTGTCCTCTTTCCTCATGGACCTTGGGATAACTCATTACAATTTAAGTCTATTTCAAGGCACCGTTCTGCTCTATTGCTTTCCTGTGAGATCCTTCATTTCTTTTTGGCACTCTTTGTACTTTGTCTTTTACCTTTCGTAGGAGTTTTATGATATTCTAGGAGAGTTACCTAAAGGCTGACTTCAAATGGTTTTTAATGTTAATTTGAATTTTTTGAAAACAGTACCACTGTACTGAAGTACTTAAAGATATAGACCAGACAAAGAAAAACAAGTCAGTATTTTAGATCTGTTTCTGCTATTTTAGAATACAAACTGGCAGTAAGAAAAATGCTTGAGGGATGCTGTGCAATATTCCTCAGGATCTTCAAGATTGGGCTCATTGCCCATCTAGCTGACATAATTGAGTTGCATAGGCAGAGAGGAGATTTAGAAACAAATAAGATAAAAATCTTGAGAGAATAAAAAGCTTTGTGAATTATATGAGAAGGAAATCTAGGGACTTTAACAGGAAATTTCTTTTGAACTTGATTTTTTGAAAAATATTCTTATCACTATGCTTTGGGTACACAAGTACTTAAAACTCAAGAACAGAAGTTCCCTAAAGAATTTTGTTGCTTTTCTCTTAGAATTAGGTTATATTCTATTTTCCCTAAACAATTTGAAGTTAATAGTACCCATAGAATCAATAATTCAGATGTGGTGATTCTTGAAAGTTTGAAACAGGGCTCTTGTTGATGAAGCAAGGAGAGTATTCTGATGTCTCTGAGGTCTATAACAAACTGATAATAAAATATGTAAATTTTGATCACCTTCTTTAAAAAATCTTTTATAAAAGGTAATCGCATTACTTCAGCCTCTGGTTGCTAATGTATAATTACATTATACTAAGATTACAAAGTCCATTTTTTTGTAAAAGCTAAAAATATATGTATGATGGAAGGAATAAAAAAAATATTTATATTGCTGCTATTGAAGGAATGAAAATTATCTCTTTAGCAATCTCAGAAGAAACAGGATACCTCTTCAGGCTTATAGAACAACCTAATGGTAAACTAGAAATAATAACAGGGTATAAAGAGTGTACTTAAAATGAAGAAAAATAAAGAGTATACTTAAATAATAGTTATAGATTTTTTAAAAATCTAATGAGAGCTTTATAGTTACAGATTAAGTGGAATTTTAAAAAAGGTTCAGAGAGACAAAAAGAGTTAATAATCCTGGCATTTTATATCAAAAAAGGAAGTCAGTCTGAAAAGAAAGAAAGAGTAGATGACCATGATTGGCATTTGTTTGAGCCTCATATTCTTTCTGCTTTGGGGTAAAAGTTCTATGACATGTTAGATTTTAATTAATGTAATTTAAGAAATATTTAATAATATGATTGGAAATACAATACTTACAGATTTTTAATAGTAATAGCTACTACCATTTACTGGGTGCCCACTTAATGCTGGCCACCATGCTAAGCTCTTTCTCTTCAATAACAGAGCAGATATTGTTAACATCATTCAAAAATGTGGCGACTAGAGTCCTAAGACTTTAGAAACTTGCTCAGGGCCTTAGAGTTAATAGCAGGGAAGCTAGAATTCAAACCCATCTGTGTTAGACCCCAAAGTACATTCGCTTTCCACATTATACCACTGTGTCTTCATAGACTTTACAGTCTGATAGGAAGGAAAACCAAGTGTACAGCAATTAAAATACAAAACCATAAGAGAAGTGAAAAAATGCTACACAGATCATGCAGGTAGATAGCATATGCTGTTGTAAACAATCAGGAAGAATTGCTTGGAAGAAGTGGCACATTTTGACAGGCTCGAGAACTGGATAATATATCAACATGCAAGCTTGTTGAAGTTTGGCCATTCAGTGGTGGAGAAAAAACAACAACAACAATTAAGTAAAACCTTGAGTTGTAGGCCTTCTTAAGTAGCAGTTTCTATGTCCCTGAATTTTGGGTGGGTAACTGCTTTAGAACAATTTGTACAATTTAACCAGTTTGTGAAAAGACTAGAGCAGTGGCTCACACTTTTTGATCTAAGATCTGCTTTACACTCTTAAAATTTAAGGATCGTTGTGATGTGCATGTTGCTTCAATCAAAAAAAAAATGTAAGGATCCTAAAGAACTTTCTAAATTTTGTATCAACTAATAGTTACCATATTCGAAATTAAAACAAAAAAATTTAAATATTTATTAATTTAGTGGACCTTGAACAATTATCATAATACTGTAAGAAAGGGATTGGCAATGGTGGGAAACTGCCAGAGGAGGAGGGATGGGATTGGCAGTTGAGGGAAATTGCCAGGGGAGGGAGGGGCACACCTCATCAACAAGGGTACCTGTATAATGAACATTTGTATACTTAACCCTAAATTGTACCCCACATCTTTAAAATAAAAAGTAAATATAAATAAAAAGAAAACACCAGAGGCGGTTCCACCAAGATCAGGAACAAGTCAAGAAATCATCATTATTAGTTCACATTACTAAAAATATATATATTTATTTACTTATTTATTTTAAAATAACAACAATAAACCTATTACATACTAACATAAATAACAAAAAATTAGTGAGTATAGTGGCAGTATTTTATTGGAGTCTCATATCTCTTCATTCAATCAGTTGTGCCACATATCATGCAGCCTTTAGAGTACTCCACTGTATATTCATGAGAGAATGAGAATGAAAAAGGGAAATAACATTGTAGTATTATTACAAAACAGCTTTGACCTCACTGACCCCTGAAATGGCCTTAAAGACCTCAAGGATGTCCAGGCCACCCTTTGAGAACCATTGCAGTAAAGAAAGTGTTATAGAACAGAGAGCAGCCAGATTCATACTTACTGACTTGCTGATTTCTAAAAAAGCCCAGAACATTAACCTGGATTTGTACCTTAAATCCTGTAGTCTCTGACCTCTTGACATTTTTCTTGCATTCTGTTACTCAACAAACATTTGATTGGGAGTAAGTGCCAACTCTCAACGTACTGGCCTCTGGAAACACAGGAATAAGACAATTCCTGACTTTGGAGAACTCATGGTACAGAAATGGAAATAAGTGAAAGTAGTGTGATAATAGCATAGTACAAAAATAAGGTAAGGTGTTAAGAGAGCATAGACAAGAGAAAAGCATGAAGATGTCTGACAAAGCTTCATAAGGAAGAATGTCCACTTCAATTAAGTTATAAAGCTAGCAAAGGAGAAAGGCGCACAGCAGGAATAGGGGCCAAGAGGTTCAGAGACAGTGCTTTTTGTGAATCAAAGATTATTTCACTGTGGCTGAGCAAATGAGAAATGGCAAACAGCAAATTTGGGTAAGTTGCTAGAGTACAGATTATGAAGGGCCTTTATTATCAAACCACTCTACATAATTTGGACATTATTTTTTACATCAGCACTTCTCAAACATTAGTGTGCATAAAAATCACTTAAAGAGCTTATTAAAAACAGAATCCTTTATACTAGATTCTGATTCTTTAGGTTCAGAGTGCAGTTCAAGAATTCCTAGGGGATACAGCATCATACAAGACAGGACATCTGGGGATGTTTTCAAGGAATGTCCTAAAAGGCCCCTAATTACCCCCAGGAAATTCTGATGTAAATGAAACAGGGATACCACATTAAGAAATGACGGCAGGAGAGACATGAGAATCATTTGAGGTCAGGAGTTCAAAACAGCCTGGGCAACATAGTGAGACCTTATCTCTATCAAAAAAAAAAAAAATTAACGATGCATGGTTGCGAGCACCTGTTGTCCTAGCTCCTAGGGAGGCTAAGATGGAAGGATTTGCTTGAGCCCAGCAGTTCGAGACTGTGGTGTGTTATGGTCACACCACTACACGCCAGCCTGCGCAACAGAGCAACATCTTGTCTCTAATAAAATTAGATACATTAAATACAATACATTAAAATAAAATGAAATAAAATACAATACATTAAAATAAAATGAAATGGTGGCAAGATATTGAAGAATTCTGAAAACAGGAATAGTATAGTCAGATTTATGTTTTAGAAAAATCACTTTTCGGATAGAAGATGAATTAGACAGGTGTGAGACCAGAAACAAAAGAGAAGAATTAGGAAACTGTTGATTCAGTTCAAGAGTGTGAATAATATTTAGAGTCTACATGAAAACAATGGTAAAGGAGTTGTGGAAAAGTTGCAAGATTTAGGAATTATTTCTGAAATCTTATCAGAATGTTGTAGCAGGATTTAGTGATCTGTTGAACTGGGAACAATATTAATAGATTATTTTCAAACTGTTATTGAAATTATTAATGAAGTAAAATAGTTGCATTGCAAGGATTTTCATCCAGAAAGAGAAGACTAAGAGATGGTTTTTGACACAATTAAATTATGGTAAGACTAGAAGATAATTTTGTTTTACTAGCAATGTTATAAAACTATTTTACATTTATTTTTTGAGGTATTCATCAGTGTTTTCATTATTTATAAATAAAGTCATGGCTACAAAAGGAAATTTACAGCTCATGTAATGTCAATCTGTCTTTTTACATATGAATAATTTAGACATAGAGAGAGGGGGACTTTCCCAAAAGTCGCCTAATAAGTTGGTGCCAGAACCATCAATATCTCCTGTCTTCCAGGCCAGAATTTAAACTGCCAGTCAAGTATGTAGATTGTCTTAAGCCCCATATTTTAGCTAGTAACTTCTCTGCCTTTATTCTTACTTTTCTACAGAGCCAAAACAGAATTTTTGAATTTAGGGTATTAGAACCTAGGTGAATTAGACCTTGTGTAGGACCTTAATTCAGTGCTAACTCAAGAAAAATCATTAATTGTGTGATTTTAGGCTAGTTCTCTGTATTAATTTGCTAGGACAACCATAACTAAGTTCCACAAACTGGGTGACTTAAGCAACAGAAATATATTATCTCACAGTTCTAAAGGGTAGAAGTCCAGAGTCAGGGCTTGTTCCTTCTGTGGTGTGTAAGAGAAGGATCTCCTTGTGGTTTGTAGATGACCGTCTCCCTGTGTGTTTTTAAATCCTCTTTCCTCTGCAAGTATCTGTGTCCAGGTTTCCTCTTCATATAAAAACAGTAGTCATATTGGATTAGGACCTACCCAGTGAACTCATTTTAACTTGATTACATCTGTAAAGATCTTATCTCCATAGAAAGTCACATTCTGCAGTACTAGGACTTCAACGTATGAATTTTGGGGGGTGACACAATCAACCCATAACAGTTTATTTCCTTTTTTAGTTTAGTTAGAATATACTATATTTATCAATAACAGTTACTAAAAAATTTTTATCAAATGTGTTGAGAATCTAATGAAAGCAGTTGACCTTCCTCCTAGGAAAGCATGTATGCCAATCAAATTTACTATCATTCCAGAAAAATTCTTAGCTATAAAAAGTTATCATCTCAGTGTTTGATTTTACAATATACTTTGAGAAATAGTAATCATTTTACATGTAACTTTCAATGATCTGTTTTGCAAATAAGAAACAAGTAATTTCTTCATAAGATTACTTTGTGAAATAAAGTCAGTTTCTTCACTCTTGTTGGCATAGTGGCACTATTATCGGTTTATTTAGGATTGATTGCATAAAAGGCAGCCATGAAGCCACTTACATGAACTTTTATTTGTTCTTTAAGCATGGTTGTAATATGTTTATAATACAAGAATAGCAACAGCAATAATACTTTGCGTCTTTTTTAGCGTTCCTTTGTATTGAACAGTTTTGGTTTTGTTTTTTGTTTGTTTGTTTTTTGTTTTTGAGTTGGAGTCTTATTTCGTCGCCCAGGCTGGAGTGCAGTGGCACACTCATGGCCACCCCAGCATCGACCTGCTGGTCTCAGGCAATACTTCCACCTCAGTTCTAAGTAGCCAGAACTACAGGCGTGCACTACCATGCTCTGCTAATTTTTTTTTTTTTTTTTTAGAGAGATGAGGTATTGCCAAGTTGCCCAGGTTGTTCTCAATGAACTATTATTTTTAAGAATATATAATGTCTTGTCAGTACACCTATAATATCTGTATTAGTGAAAATAATTCAGGATATGTGTTTGCTTTGCAGTTCCTAGGGAGCTATCCCCTTTCCACCTGTGATAAACAGAGCAAGTCCAATTATTTAGATCATGCACAGTTCTTAGGTTCTTTTTGATTGATACTGAGGGCCACAGGCAACTGAAAGTAAGTAAGGATTAGTTAGCCCCTATATCTTTGCTGCCCGGTTCTAATGAAGCAAGTTCTGGCACATGTAAAAACATTTGGAACCAACCCTGCTGTCCATTGAAAGTGTACCGAATAAAGAAAATGTGGTACATATACCCAATGGAGTATTATGAAACCATAAAAAAGGACAAAATTATGGATTTCACAGCAAACTGGATGGAGGTAGAATCCATCATACTTAGTGATCTATCACAGAAACATAGAACTGAATACCTCATGTTCTCACTCATAAGTGGGTCCTGAACATTTATCACAATACTACAAGGGATGGATCATTAGTTGCAGGACACTACCAGGGGAGGGAGGGAGGGGAAGGGCATATGGTATCACAAAGAGTACCTGATCCTAAACCAGGGAGAGTGAGGACCAGGTGAAGGCCCAAACGTCACTTACAGTTAGACTACTCATATACCTAATCCTGACTTGTACCCCACATCTCAATAGTAAAATTAAATTAAATTAAAAAACAAGCAGAGGTCAAACAGTAGCACAACCTGTTCTTTAAGCTCATTCGAGTCCCCATTAATCCGTCCTTTATTTGGTGCTACCACAAGACCATGTATAAAAATTTACCTGGAGCAAATACAACAGTATTCTAGCTGTAGGATTCAGCTGGCCATCTGATTAACTCAATTGACTAAAAATCCTCTGAACTAGCAGCTAAAGGTCCCAGGCTAAGTTAGTCATTCCTAAGTGTAAGGGACTTGCTACATTCATATATTCTAGTTCATATGACTATTACTAAAATGTTTTAGCTAGTCCAATTCTTGAAAACCACTAATTTAATCTATGAAAAGCCATTTCTGAGATTCATTATACTTAATTAACAAAATCTTTGATACTGGTCATAAGAAAAAGTTGATTGAAGCACTTATATCTTGGAGCGTGGCTTTTAATCAAATGCCAACTAACCATTCTGGAATGTTCACATTCCCAGTTAAGAAGACTGCCCATCAGGTATAGACCAAAATGTACACAGTAGTATCATACTGCATACACTAAAATGCATTAAATTACAGGCACTTGATACCACTTATATTTTTTTACTGTGGCATTGCAACTTAGGAATTTCTGTGCCCTCTTCCCTCTCGCTTTTCTAATTAAGTTACTAGTCTTTAGATCTAAGTTTCATTCTCTATCCTTTTCTTAGACGGGGAGATTTTTCTAACACAAGGAGGGATAAATGCACATCTGTCTGACTACCTACCGTTCTTTCATTTTTCCTTTTAAAATGTGTACCTTATATTTTTTAAGTATTTTGTGTTCATAGAAGAAAATATGGAAAATATAGAAAAGAAAACAAAAAAATGTCCTGCTATCCCACCATTCAGCAATGATCATTGCTTATTATATGTCAGAAGTTCAAACCCATCTATTTTTCTGTATCTATTTCTGTGAAAGAAAGAAACAAACTCCTGGGGTCTTATTTTATCACCTAACAGTATAACATCAATATTTCCTTGAATCATTAACTATTTAGCAATGTGGTTTTTAATAACTGCATAAGATTCCATTATATGGCTAGACCATAATTTATTTAAATAATTCTCTATTGCTGGACATTTAGAATATCTCCAGTCACTATTAAAGGCACTGCCAGACTTTTTAGATTCAATTCCTTTCTACATCTTCAGGCCTAGTCTTTCTCACCCATCATTTCCTCTGTCATTTGCTGTTAAAATGGTAGTCTTTAAGTTAGTTTTACATAATTCTTTAATTCAGGTTTTTTAAAAATTGTAATTTTTAGCTTTTCATTAATATAAGTCTTATAATTGAGTAAAACAAGTTAAAAATACTGTTTGGAATTTTTAGCACTCTAATGTTTGCTTATTTTTTAAAATGTTTTTAGGAGTGTATATCCTGGGGAAATATGGGCAGAAGAAAATCAGAGAAATACAAGAAAGGGAGGCTGCAGAATATATTGCCCAAGCACGACGACAGTATCATTTTGAAAGTAACCAGAGAACTTGCAATATGACAGGTAAGACAAAGAGAAACATTTATACATATATAAAGTTGTTTGATGATTTGTGTTAATTTGCATACCTCCAGGATGCAAATTTAGAGGAAAAGGCAGAGGAATAATGGTAACTCTAGCAAGTATTTGCATACAAAATGAAACTTACCATTTTAATAAGAATTTTTAAAATCAATATAGATTAATATTAGTATTTGTTCATTCGCTGTATTTATTCGTTCAGCAAATACTTATGGTGCCCAGTACTAGGAAAGCAGGAGGAGTTGAACAATATAAAAAAAATTCCCAACTTTTGGAGTTTATATTCCAGTGAGAGGGAAAGATGATAAACAGCAAGTATGTAACTTTAGACAGTGATGGCAGTTATACGGAGAATCACGCAATGTACAAGGTAGTGATGCTCTTGAGCACAGGACAGTCAGGAGAGTTAGGTTTCTTTGAGGTAACATTTGAATATAAACTAAATGATACCCTGCAAAATGCCTGAGGTGGGAACAAGCTTTGATCATTTAAGAAACCGCAAAAAGATCATGTAGCTAAAGCAGATCGATGGCTGCAGAAATAAAACTGGTCCCGTTGGGTCAGGGTAAGATGGTTAAAGAGTCATAAGTTTGTTGAATTTTCAGTAGGCAACTACAGACCTGTGAGTCTGCCACAGTAGTCTATGCTCAGTCAGTGCTAATTAATGGCAGTCATTCTGGAGGAATGCCACAACAAAATCAACCTGCCCACATTTGAAGGGAACAAGGTATTATGTTCCAACCATTCTAACTCCTTGAAGAATTAGTTCTCAAATCCACATCAAACCTGTTTTTCTTTTTTATTTTGTAGCTTAATCTTTTCTCTAACATTTCTTTCAAAAAGAATTTAGAAAGAATTTATAAAAGTGCATTCTTGTTCAATTTTACAAGTCGAATTTTTCTCAAAGTTGAAAGGACTTTATTTGTTCACTTTTCTTATTTTACTTGAGGTTGAGATCAAGATGGTTAAGAGGCACATCTAAACTTACAGCTGGAGTATGATTTTTTAATATTTAAAATAATAACACTCAGAAAAATACCTCCATTCTATAAAGCAAATAGTAATCATAGATACAGTATATATTGACAATTCTCAAAAGGTGCAGTAAGAGCACAGCTCTCAGATGAGGCAGATCTGGCCCAGTTCTCAACTTCCCTTGTATTATCTGTGTGTTTTTGGACCAGTCAAATTTCAAAAATCTTTGTAAAATCATATAGCCTTCCCTATAAAATGAACACCATAAAATCCACTTCATAAGTGTTTTGTGAGGCTGTGATGAGGCAATGCACATAAAGTACTTAGCATATAATAAATACTCAGTAAATAATAACTTTTTACAAATTATGTAATTTTTTAAAATTGACATTCAGCATTCAATGTAGTGGTGCTGCTTAGGACTTGTAATGAATTTTTGGAAAACAGTCCTTTCCTGTTGCTACTCAGAATTTCAGAAAATAGAAAAAGGCAGCTGCTGAGGTCCCAAAATGCATCTCAGTTTAGCATGGACCTTTGTGTCATTTGGGGTTCCCTCTGAAGTAGATGCCAAGATGGGATTAGATGGGCCAGAGATCTACTGGGGGAAATGCCTGTCAATAAAGGGAAAGGGAAGTTAAAGTAGCCACGGGAAGCCTTTAGGCCACCATGCAAGTCTGAGACTTGTGAACAGAATGAGAGAAGGAAGGAAGATTAGGTAAAAAGAGTCTCAGAAAGAGTTTCTAAGAAAGTTTTGGCAGGTCAGTGGGGAGTCTGCATGCCAAAGTTTCTGGTAAGGGAGACTTGCAGCAATAGACCTGCCTTAGTGTCTCTACCGGAGCGCTGTCACTGGTTGTGAGCAATGCAAACGTGGTGATATATCCAGAGAGATGGCTACTGGGGCTGTCAGCTAACTGTGCTCCTCCCAGCACAAGTTGTGGGTCACATATTTTCGTGACTCTCGCAAACCTCGGATGAACAAATAGCTGACTGTAGGCAATTAAAAATAAAATATGGTGATCACTAGGAGCCAAAATATTAGTTCACTGAAAAACTTTCCAAATTAGCTTTCTAATATTCATGGATAGTGAGATTACAAAAATGATTAAATTTCTGTCTTTTTGGATAAGATGTAATGGATATAACAGAAAAACATTAATACTTTCGGGTAAATATAACTAGTTTTCTTACCCAAGATGTTTTCCTTTTTAGATTGTGGTGTTTATGATCTCTTGATATTTTTTCATTTTGTTATTGTTACTTATTTAGTGTTAGAAACTCCTTTTAAATGTTTATACGTGCATTTCTCCAAAATTATTACATGTGTAGAGCCATAAATAAAATAGCTCCTAAAAATTACGTGCAATTCTTTTTTCCATAGAGTACTATTTCTCATTTCATCCTCACATTTTTCCTGGGAGTAAAAGACAAACAACACCATTGACAAAACTAAACCTCAGCAGCTCTTAATTCTTAGCTCAGCGCACTTTTGCCCAGGTTATAATAAATGTTTATTGCTTTTTAGTCTTTAATAAGTAAACTTCTAAAATTAGAAATGAAATATGAAGCAAAAAGTATAGCCAAGAATAAAAATGTTACTTTTGATCATTTTCATTGTATCAGAAGTAATTACTTATTGTTAAAAAATTTGGAGAGTACAGAAAAGAAGAATTATTCATAATCCATAGCCCAAAGAACACCACCGTTAGCGTATAGGGATAATTCCTTTCATTCTTTCTTCTGTATGTACTTGTTTATATTGCTGTGACTTATATATATATATAATTTTGTTCTCTTGACATAAGCAGATAAATGATTTATTAGTATATAAGTTTTATGTTATTATTATTAATAATAGTAATTTGAATTCTGTAGCCCTGACCTTTCCTTCCAACTCTTGCTAGTTGCTAGCCCTATCATGTAGCCTAAAACAGTGCATGTTTATCACTGAGGGCAGTCATATCACTAATGATATTTTAATTTTCTGTTTATATGGCAGTGCTGTCCATGCTTCCAACACTGAGAGAGGCCTTAATGCAGCAACTCAATTCTGAGAGCCTCACCTCTCTACTAAAAAACAGGTAAATGCAAGTGACAGCATTTTTTGTTTATGTACTGCACTTGAAGACTGATATAATCTTGTAAAAGTCTTTGTTTTCTTATTTTTCTTTCTAATTAAAGCTTATAACATAGAGACTCAGAAAAAATATTCACTGACTATATCTTGAATCCATATTTAATTTTGTCTACTTATGTATGTTCTACTTTGTTGCAGAAAGTAGGTCAACAACATTTGTATTCATTGATTTTTATACAAGTAGATGGTATATCACTTTGAAATTATTCAGAAATTTAGTTATTGAATACTTATGAAATGTATTTCCAAACCAGGTACAGTGAAGCTAACAAAGTTATACTAAATATTGTGCTTCTTAAAGAGTTTACAGAGTAATAAATAAAGCATGTTAACATACATTTTAAGTAAATAAGTCATATAAAACTTATATTTTAAATAAAAACGAAGTACAGATATAACATGAGCACAAAATACTAATAATTTACATTACCATGACAGATTGCTATTGACAAAGCACTTTAACGTATATGACTTTGCATATGAAGTGCAGTATTTGTTAGCATATTATAATTTGATGTGATGATTTATACATTTAAGAAGACTACCCGAAGAAATGGCTTCTTATTTTAATGAGTAAGATGGGGGGAAATGGTTTCACTAAATAAGTTTAATCATTGTAGCCTTACTAAAAGAGTCACTTGCCTTGTATCACCCTTCAGACAGCCAAGGGGAAAGTAATGCTGTTTCCAGAGTACCTCACTATGCCAGGCCTGGTGCTGGGTGCTGGTTGTCTTCCGTGTGGGCTCCCATTTAATTTACACAATATCTCTGTGAGGCAGATATTAGCAGATATCATCTCCATTTTACAATAGGAGTTTTGTGCTCAGACAGATTAAATAACAAGCTGAAATTTTTTTGAAAAAATGTTTATTATATTCAGAGAATACTTTGTAAAATAACAATAGATTTGTGTACATGAGCTTTTTAAAATCCAATTAAAATATAATGCTGGTAATAATGGTTTTTCTCCTTTTTATCATTTTATCATGTTATCATGTTATCAATGTTATCATTCTGAGAGGTAGACAGACCTTCATTCCTTCTTACAAACACAAAGTTTAGCTTACAAATTAGTTTATATTAATTATATGAAGAAGAAACATATGAGCAAATTGCTTTCAGTCAAATAAATATTTAATTACCACCTATGTGTATGTACATAGGGATTGAAAAGAAATAGGTTTTAATTGCCTTGCATTTCAGTCTTAACAGGAAAGCAAGACAAATAAAATAAGTAGGATTTTTATAAAAGCAATGTAATAACAGAACATAATAATCATAATAATATGAGGGCATTCTTACTTCATGGTGAATGAAGTTTCCTGTTCCTTTGTTCCATGTGCTTTGGGAGATTCATGATAATTAAGCTGTCTCTTTTCCTTCAAGAACTTGTCATTGAAAAGAAGTACACTAAATAAATCATTATAATTCAAGACATATTATGTTTAGTGCTGTGATTTAAGTAAAAGTAAAATGTGGGAAGATAGAAAAAAAACAAAAGGAATTAATTTTGAAGGACAATTCTGTACAGCTTTAAAGAAAAGGTATGATTCCCCTTTTCTTACTACACAGGGAGGAAAGTATCTTCAATTCTGGATGTGCCACAGTTCTCCTCATTCACTTTTTCCTCTTTAAATATCTCAAATATTTTTTCTTGGCTTTCTTTTTATTTGAAATTTCTGTTTGCAATTTGGTGGGGGTGAGGAAATGTCCGTTTGAAAGGGCTTAAGGCCTTACAAAGTAGAGTAAATAAGGCTTCCAATCTTATGACTGCTCTGGTTTCAGTTAAGCCTATCTAGTAAGTTAGTTCTCTCTTTAAACTAAGTGTGATAATTACTAATCAGAAATAAATGATTTGATAGTCTTATTTTATTGTTTTTATAATAGCAAATAATAATAGCAAATACTTGGCATTCTTATTGAGGACTGATAATGACAATGAAGTTTCAGTGGCAAAAAACATATATATAGGAAAAATCAATATATATAGGGTTTGGTACTAGCTATGGTTTCAGGCATCCACTAAGCGTCTTAGAACATATCCCCTGAAAAGAGGGGACTACTGTACTACTATGGAATGATCTCCACAGGATATATTTCTGTATTTTCAAAAAAGTAAAGGAAAAAAGTGTATATAATATGCTTCTGCTTGAAGATTAAAAGAAGATCCCTACCTATCTAAATGGATCAAAGACCTAAACTATAAGAACCTTAGAAAATGCAGGAGACACCCATATGGAAATTGGAACTAGCAACCAATTCCTGATCAAAATCCTAAGTGCCCAAGCCATAAGAGATAAGATAGATAAGTGGGACCTCATCAAACTGACAAGCTTCTGCAAAGACAAAGAAACTATTGAGAGAGCAGGGAGACAGCCTACAGAATGTGAAAAAATATTGACCAACTCGTATATCTGACAAAGGCCTAACATCTAGGATCTACAAGGAACTCAAACATGCCAAAAAGAAAAAAACAAATAGCTCCATTACAAAGTGAGCAAAACATATGACTAGACACTTCTCAGAAGATGACATACAAGCAGCCAACAGATACATGAAAAAATTCTCAACCTCACTAGTCATCAAAGAAATGCAAATTAAAACCACACTGAGATACCACCTAACTCCAGTCAGGATGGCCATCATCATAACTCAAAAAACAACAGATGCTGGAGAGGATGTGAGGAAAAGGGAACACTTCTACAGTTGGTGGAGGCTTATGCTAGTACAGCCTCTGTGGAAAACAGTGTGGCGATTTCTAAAAGATCTAAAAATCAACCTCCCATATGACCCACAATCCCCCTACTGGAAATATACTTTAAGGAACTCAAATCACTCTGTGTAAAAGATACCTGCACATGCATGTTTATTGCAGCATTCACAAAAGCAAAAACATGGAACCAACCATGCTGCCCATCGAAAGAGGACTGCATTTAAAAAATGTGGTATATATACACGATGGAATATTACACAGTCATAAAGAAGGACAAAATTAGCCAGGCTCGGTGGCTCAGCCTGTAATCCCGCGCCTTTGGGAGGCTGAGGTGAGTGGATTGCCTGAGCCTGCGGGTTCGAGACTCGCCTGGGCAGGCAAGACCTCATCTCTACAATAAATCAAAAAATTAGCCAGGCATGGTAGTGCCCGCCTGTAGTTCCAGCTACTTGGGAGGCTGAGGTGGAAAGATCGCCGGAACCCAGCAGGTCGAGGCTGCGATGGCTGGGAGCGGCCACTGCACTCCAGTCTGGGCGACAGTGAGACTCCAACTCAAAATTATGAACTTCACAGCAACTTAGACGGACTTAGAGGCTATAATACTGAGTGATCTATCACAGAAACAAAGAACCACGTATCATATGTTCTCACTCATGAGCAGACCTTGAACAGCTATCATAATACTATAAGAAAGGTATTGGTAGTAGTGGGAAACTGCCAGGAAGGCACACCTCATCAACAAGGGTAGCTGCATAATGAACATTTGTATACCTAACCTTGAATTGTACCCCACATATTTAAAATAAAAATAAATTTTTAAAAATATATGCTTCTGCTTATCTAAGGGGGCAGATATTAATATACAGAAGGTGTCAAAAAATGTATACACATTTTAAGAAAGGCAAAAACTGTATTAATTGTAATACTCAATATATACCAACAACAAAACATGAACAAAACAAGTCACGTTTGACTTCTGCAATTATAAGAGGTGCTCAAAGTGGTACCATCAGCCACTTCTGATTACAGTGAGCTACTGCTTTAGCAACATTGACCAAAGTGTTCATTTGTATTGCTGCACATGCTGTTTCAGTTTCTTCCCAAAGTACCACCAGTGTAACTGGTTTTCTACAGTACACCACATCCTTTTATATACCCCATGAGTAGAAGTCAAGGGTTGTTAAGTCAGGAGAACGTGGGGGAAAATCAACTGTACCTTTTCATCCTATCCATTGTTTTGGCAAATTCTCATTGAGGTAAGTTCTCACATTTCAGTGGAATGCAGTGGGATGCTATCTTGTTGGAAGTAAAATTGATTATTCCCAAAAAGCATACAAATTGCAGGTAAAATGGTTGCATGTAGCACGTCAGGTACACTTGACCAGTAACGACACCTTCAAAAAAGAGTGGTCTAATTAGTCCCCTACTGACAGTCCGTAACAGACTTGAGGCCCAGTAAATTGACATTTTTCCCCACATGAATGTGTAGATTTTCTGCAACCCAGTGCACTCATTTATGTCAGTTCACTGTTCCACTGTGCTTCATCAGACCAACTATTTTCTGTAAACTCCTCATCCTCTCATACCATGTTTCGGAACTACTCATAACACTGTACCCTTCAATCAGGGTCTTTTTTTTCCATACATGTAGTCTTGTGATGAAAACTTTCCAGTTTGCTGTTTTAAGAATGCATCATAAGCTTGTTCTGCTAACTCCTGTCTCACGTATGCATTGTTTGGTAGACTTCTGTGGTGAGCACAGAAGCTATTCCAACACCATAGCAGAGGAAGCAGGACTTATTGCTGTGTGAGGCTTCCTGACTCTTCCCTTGTGCACATTACACACAGTGCCATACATCTCAGACTTATCATGAATGCATGCAGTTGTTAGGCGTGTTGGAAGTTCTCTTGCATACTCATACCTCCATTGTCATTGTATTTCCACACATTCTCGAATTCAAATACCACTACAAAATGGTTGTGTGCTCCTCAAACAACAACTGTGCTCCCACCATTTTCTTTGACTGTCCTGTCTGCTGCATGGTGATGCAGCATGGTGATACATTTATAATGCCATCTTTTCAACCAACATCATACTTTACATTGCTACCGTAATTCAGTTCAACTTTGAAAAGTAATTCATAGATAACATCTCTTAAAATTTGTATACATTTTTTGGCACTTCCGTTATATACGTATTTTCTTATACAAAGCAAAACAGCAGAAAGTTAAAACATTTTTTAAAATAGTCACCTATGAAGAAGAGAATAAAGGGGCATGAGAACAGACTTCTTTGAACAAACTGTGTTAAGAATGGCCATCATTAATAAAACAAACAACAACAGATGCTGGTGAGGATGCAGAAAAAGGGACTGCTTCTACACTGCTGGTTTGAATGCAAACTAATTCAACCTCTATGAAAAACAGTATGCCGATTTCTAAAAGAACTAGAAATTGACCTTCCTCATGACCCAGCAATCCCACTGCTGGGAATATACCCAGAAGAGCTCAAAGCATTCTACAAAAAGATACCTGCATGTGCATGTTTATTGCATCACTATTCACAATAGCAAAAACATGGAACCAACCATGCTGCCCATCAAAACTGGGCTGAATAAAAAAATGCGGTACATATACACAATGGGATATTACACAGTTTTAAAGAAAGACAAACATGTGGACATCGCAGCAACTTGGATGGATTTAGAATCAATAGTACTCAGTGATCTATCACAGAAACAAAGAACTGAGTACCACATGTTCTCACTCATAAGCAGACCCTGAACATTTTCCATAATATTATAAGGAATTGGCAGTAGTGGAGTATTGCCAGGGTTGTGGGAGAAGGAAACCACAACATCAATAAGTGTACCTGATCTCAAACCAGGCAACATGGGGACCAAAAGGAGGCCCAAACTTTACCTGTACGATGCCCACTTGTATTCCTAATCCTGAATGGTACCTGACATCTTTAAAATAAAATATAGTAAAAAGAAAAAAAAAGGCCAGGCTTGGTGGCTCAGCCTGTAATCCCAGTGCTTTGGGAGGCTGAGGCGAGAGGATTGCCTGAGCCTGCGGGTCCGAGACCCACCCGGGCAACTTGGCGAGACCTCATCTCTATGATAAATACAAAAAACTAGCTGGGCGTGGTAGCTCACGCCTGTAGTTCCAGCTACTTGGAAGAGCTCAGCAGGTTGAGGCTGTGGTGACCGGGAACGTGCCACTGCACTCCAGTCTAGACGACAGAGTGAGAATCCAATTCAAAAAAAAAGAAAAAAAAATAGAATATACTCTGTTGTGTAAATTTATCTTTGGGACCACATAAATATTTTATATCATTATAAAACTATATTTAATGTTTTTTAAAGGCCCAAAAATTGATAGTACAATAAGATAAACCGAAAATGATTCTCGTGGTGATATAACCACAAAGACAGAAACTATAAATTACTTTAATACAGAAGTTTGACGGTATATCTTTAGTGGTACATATACTTTTTGCACACATCGAATTGTGCAAAAACAAAAACTTTAAACTCTTTTCAATACTGTTACTGTTCTGAGACTGTAGTATGTATATGGAGTGAGAGATGAAGCAAATTAGTAATAATATTATTTTCACCTATTTTTAGTATAGGCAAAAAGAAATACAGATGCAATCAATGAGATTAAGTTAAAAACTCGGCGAATGATTTTCAATTAGAAGTATCAGTATGAATGTATGATATATTATCTCTTTAATTATATGTACATGTAAATAAATACACATACTAAAGTCTTATAAATGATGGCCTATCCAATAGCAATGAACATCCTTAATTGAAGAGTTTGGTCTTTAACTACCATTTATTACCACAAAAACCCAGGACTCTTATTAAAAATGTGTGATTTCCAGTCTCCAGCAAGAATTAAACAAAATAAACTTCGAACAACTTTTGTGTCAGAAACTGTGGAAGCTATCAAAAGGTAATAAAGGATTGTGTAAATCAAAAGGATTCAGGAGCCAACTTTAGTAGTCTTCCAGTGGTCAAAGATGATCAATTTGAAGTTCAGTATGGATTATAACTGCAATGGGTTGAAAAACATGAAATGTCTGTGTAAATGCCTATGTTTATAATGATACTGATGATAAAACAACACCTCATTACTTACCTTTGAAGGATTACAGGACCTACTTCATTATTTGTAAAACAGTAAGTTAGAGAAAGAAATAAACATTGTTTCTGCTTTTCCTGTACAATTATATAATACATATGTGCATAACACTCAAAAAGAAAAAGACTAGATGAACATATTCCAGTGAAAGTGGTTGTTATCATTGGTTACTGGAATTGCAATTGTTTTTTACTATACGAGTTTTGTTTTCTTCAGTTATCCTCTTTTTTTAAAAAATTAAATATAGATCTATAAAGATCAAAGTTTTCTATTACATTATATTTATCTGTGTTTTCTGGTTTTTCTCTTTAGGCCTTCAAATAAGCTAGAAATATGGGAGGATCTGAAGATAATAAGTAAGTTAGCATATTCTTTGTGAACAGCCCAACATCCTTAAAATATTTATAAAGGGAAATTTTTATATGTAATTATGTGAATGACTCTTCTTTACCTGCCTCATAGAATTGTTGTTGGGATTAAATTGAGTAATATTCATTAAGCAAGTAGACCAAATATCTGGTCATAGAACGTACTCAGTAAATGTTGGTGGCAATGGCAGTACTATTATTTTTATTGTTATAATGGTGGTAAGTAAAATTGTCTTAGACTACATATACCTATATTACTATTGTATTTTAAAGAAAATTTTTATTCCACCCCAGATAATAAATTTACCTTGATATTGTATGCAAACTTTTATTAGTAATAAAAATTTGAAACGGAGAGCTGCCCCAATATTTGCTCCTGTCTCAGAGCTTCTTACTACTAGTTGTTCCCATCCCTTCAACTAATCCTTGTCAACAGAATGGCACGTAAGCCTTAAACAAATTAAACCTCTCTAATTTCCTATATTTCCTTTCAGCGATTGCACTTTCTCACACTCCTTATAATCAAGATTTCTACACTCCCTCCTTCTCTTCTTCACTCCCACTCACTTATAGCCTAGCTTAATGCCTGGCTTCCACTCCTGTCTCCACCCAAGCAGATACCAAGCATCAGTAATAACTTCTGTGTTACCAAATCCTCTGGACATTTTCCACTTACTGTACCTCTTGGCAGTAATCAACACCTTTGCTCCACTGTTTTGAACACACTGTCCTAAGCTACTGTGAAGCCTAGACTCCAGGTTTTCCCGTCTTTCTGTATCTTCCTCCAGTCCTTGAAAAGGCTTGTCCTCCTTGACCTGTCCTTGAAGGCTAGAGTTCTTTTGTGCTTAGCCCTCTTCTCTTAACTTGAAACTGACTCCCTTGATAACTAAGAGTTCTGAGGCTGCAATTATTTGTGCCTTCTGATCCTTCCTTGTTTTCTTTTCTAAGCTAATAGTATAACTTCTTTCAACTAATATATTTTTTGCTTATTGTTTCAATTAAGAGATCATACCTAATTTACATTAAACAACTTGTTAGAGACTGATTATGAAATATTTTGAAATGGTACATTTTTGTACTTTAAACAGCTATATATATGTTTTTTAAAAAACAACCACAGGGATGCTTCATGATTTTGCACACTTGTGTTTTAATAACAGTACCAAATGGTTTTCTTTTCTCTATGAAGGTTTCACAAGAAGTATTGTGGCTGTGTATAGTACTTGTATGCTGGTTGTTCTTTTGCGAGTCCAGTTAAACATAATTGGTGGATATATTTACCTGGATAATGCTGCAATTGGCAAAAATGGCACCGTAAGTTCAGTAGTCTTACATAGATATTGTCCTTTCTTTCAAGTGGTTCAAAGTTTAACTGAATTTTATTTATACTGATGGTAATTTCTCTAAAATAAATACCTTTATATTTTATGTGATTGTGAACTTTTACTATTATGATTCCTTTATATATATATTTTGAAGCTAGACTTCTTGTTATGATAAAGAATATTACTTTTCCTATCATTTCAGAACCTGAAAAATCTCAGTCCAAGTTACACTGAAAATATTACTTATTTACTAATTTAAAACTTGGATAATTTAACCTCATTTCTATTTTGTACAGACAATTCTTGCTCCCCCAGATGTTCAACAGCAGTATTTATCAAGTATTCAACATCTCCTTGGAGATGGTAAGATTCTTATTTGTGCCCTGTATGCAAATTTTAATTCATTAATTTGTATTATTGAGGAACTTTTTAAAAGAGCAAGACTTTTAAGTTTGTTTTCCTTTAATAGGCCTGACAGAATTAATCACTGTCATTAAACAAGCTGTGCAGAAAATTTTAGGAAGGTAAGGAATTTTTCTTTGACTTTTCTGACTTCCTGATTTGGATGAATAAAAGAAAATTTAGAATAGTTCTAGTGAAGTTGGCGAACTAGACGAGTGGTGGTTTGTGAAACTCTTTGTAATCTAATCAGATACTACCCTGAAGTATTGCATTGTGGCATCCATTTTCTTCATTGATATCAAACTTTTTATACTGAGGGGAAATTTTTAATATTTCATTGTTTATTGATTTCCAAAGAAATTAGAAATATCTGCGTCATGATATAAAAGATCTACTTTAAAATCTGCTTCTGAGGCTTTACCTCCCACTTACACTAGTAATATCTATAATTGCAATAGGAATTTTCTTGTGAAATCTGCGGAAAGATTTTTCTTGGCTCTGTAATGACCCCTAACTAGTTTCTGATTTCTTAATCCATTTTAGTTGAGTCAGCAGTTTCAGGGTTGACCAGATGAAACAGGATATAGTAGCCTATTAAGAGTGTGTACAGGATGTGTTGCGTAGTTTCAATTTATTCCAATTCCCTTTCCTCTGTTTCTAGTGTTTCTCTTAAACATTCTTTGTCCCTTCTGGACTTGGAGCAAAGCCTAAAAGAAATCAGAAATCTCGTTGAGCAGCATAAATCTTCTTCTTGGATTAATAAAGATGGATCCAAATCTTTATTATGCCATTATATGATGCCAGATGAAGAAACTCCATTAGCAGTTCAGGTGCTTAATTCATAACCATTTAACCAAACCAGTTTATTCTATATTTTTAAAATGTTACTCTGTCTTGAAATTTTGATTTCTGAATCTCTTGAAAGGTGATTGAAAGATATATATTTGAATAATTTAATAAAGCCTCATTAATTTAGAAAACAAACTGCACATATAACTGATTTCTAGTAGCACCACTTGTAGTTTCAAATATTCAGCACATTGCTGTTGAGTGTTACTTATGTGACAGTGGATATTATGATGTATGTTAGGGATATAAAATGAGTAAGTCATGTTCATTACACTTAGAGAACTAGGGCGATAAATTCAGTGAGTGTGGCTAGAGCATATTTTTTATCAGATCAGGTAGCAGAACATAAAGCTAAAGGTCAGGGCAGGATTGTCAAAAGCCAAGATAAGGAGTCTGACCTTCAATTTGTAGACAAAGTAAGGTAGATTTTAACCAGGCCAGTAGCACAATCACACTTTCTTTTTAAAAATAAATTAATGATGGCAGTATAAAAATGGACTGAAGGAAGTTGTAGTCATCCAGTTGAGAAATAAAGCCTAATCTGATAATGATTAACTGTGGTATGTAGCAAATACTGGCGTGTGCTGCACAATTATTGTATAAATTATTCATTGATGAAGAATAATGAAAATGCCAAAGATTGCAGTTCATATAGCTCATTTCTAAATTAGTCATTTTTCATTACTCTGCTGGATTGTACCCATTCTTCGCAGTTGAGAGAAGAATCGTTCACATTTGACAACTGGAGAAGCCTTAAAACAGAGGTCCCTTTGTGATTCCTTAGTGTGGAGGTCCAGTTAGGACAAGGTGCCATGTATTTATTGCCTGCAGGTTTTCTCCTTTCCTATAGACCCCAAAGATGAACTAGTTTGGGTGCTGAGAGACCCTACATTGTGAGTAGGATGAAAAACACACCAAAAGACCCCCAAAATACAGTTGCATCCCATTTAAGTATAAAGACTAAACCGATCAAGCAGAACGGATGGAACAGGATGAACGAAACAATAGAAAACTTACAAATTAGAATCTTAAGGAGATGCAAGAAGATCATTTAAAAAGGTTTCTGGAACTGTAAAACAATTTACAAATTTTTAAATTCCAACAGTGGAACTAAAAAAAGAAAACAATTCAAAGGAACAGGTGAAGAGAGAAATGATGGACCAAGTCTCAATGAGCTGAATTAAAACCTAAAACTTCAAATTGAAAGGTCATACAGAGCCTCACACTAGATTGATGAAAAAAGACACACACATATACTGATAAAATTTCTTAGCAAAAAAAAAAGAAAGAAAGAAAAAAGCACAAGAGGCCGACATGAGAGGATTGCTTGAGGCCAGGAATTTGAGACCAGCCTGGGCAACATAGACCCCATTTCTAAAAAAAGAAAAGAAAATCCCAGGCCTCTACAAACTCAAAGCCTATTTTTTTCTTTGTCTATATATATGTGAAAAATCTATCCAAGAGGGGCCAGATAAGCAATGATCTTAACAAAGATATTTTTACTTTGACTCATGTTTTAAATAATACTTACCTATGTATATAAACCTTTATGAGTTTTTTGAATTTAACATGTTTTGATTATTAATAGAATGTAAACTTTTAGATTTCCTGAACTCTTGAGTTTATGAATCTGACTAGTTTCATTTTAAGCTGTGCTAATACTTGAAACCCTGAAGTATGGCATTTTAATTTTATAGGCCTGTGGGCTTTCTCCACGAGACATTACCACTATTAAACTTCTCAATGAAACTAGAGACATGTTAGAAAGGTAAGTATATCACAACTAACAGAAAAAAAGTTTGTATTTTGAATGTACTTTTTAAGTTTTTCTTGAACAACATATTGTGTTAAAATTAAATTCTGAATCTAGACTGAGGTGGGAAAATTGCTTGAGCCCAGGAGTTCAAGAGCAGCCTAGGCAACATAGCAGGACCTCATATCTACAAAAAAACCCCCAAAAATCAAAAAATTAGCCTGGCGTGGTGATGTGTGCCTGTAGTCCCAGCTACTCGGGAGACTGAAGAGGAAGGTTTGCCTAAGTCCATGAGGTCAAGACGACAGTGAGCCATGATCATGCCACTGTACTCCAGCCTAAGTAGCAGAGTAAGACCCCAACTCAAAGAAATAATAAATAAATAAATGTTGAATCTATTTCCCTGCCTTTAGATGGAATTTTCTATCTAAACTGGAGAGAAGCAGGAATTTTTTAATTTTTTTTTAAGATACCCATTCCTTGCCCACCCAATTTCCTGGCCTACAAGTTTTGATATACTAGTTGAGAAACTGGAAGATACACAGCATTTATATTTTGAAAAAAACTTTCCAGGGTAATTCTGGCACACCCCACGTACACTAAGTGCTCAACGACTAGCACTGAAAACACACCCACGTAGTCACCAGAAACTGAAATTGTAACCTCAGCAGATTCCAGGCTACCAACTTGAAGTCATTGAATACCAAGTTGGAGACTTAGGAAGAGTTACTCTTTCAAGCCAGCACTAAGCCAGCTCCAGCTAATCCTCAAGTATTATAGGTACATACCTGCACATGCTTGTATGTACACACACACAAACACACACACGCTCCACCTTAAGTACTACTCACACTGACTAAGCCTTTTAGGACAGATGTTATGTTCATAAAAGTTTCCAGTGATGAAAGTTTTACATATTCCCTAAACTGAGCATTGCTATTTTAAATCAACCAAAAGAAAGTCAGAGTATTACAAATGGGAGAAGCACCAGACTATATATTAGAAGACCATACAACCTAGCTTCTGTTTACTAGCTGTTCAACCTTAGCTGAGCAACTTAAACTCTTTGAGGTCATTTTATCATTGTAAAATATGAGTAGTAATACCTGCTCTACCCACTTTATTTTTATTTTAAGTGATAAAAATCTCAAAGCAACTCCATGTAAGTTAAAGCTACTATATACCTCCCTGGGGTAATTTAAGCCTATTTTCTCTATTTCTGTTTTCTGAGAAAATGATGCCACCTACTTATAATAATTTTTCATTATCTTGAAGAAAATAAGTAGACTGTTAGGATAACTCAACTACTCAGTCTACTATCTGAGTTAATCGAATTTTAGTCCTTTGTCTTCCTATAATAGTAATCTCCACTTTTTTTTCTTATTCACATTTCCACCAAATCACTCCCTAAAGCTCAGTAATCTTTTGCCATATCTAGTGAATTCATAATGTTCATCTTACTTGACCTTTCTTTGGTATTTTACACCATTAATAAGCCTTCCTTGAAATTCTTTTTACATGTGACTTTCAAGACAGTGTTTTTCTCCCAACTCTCAGATTATGTCTTCTTAGGTTCTTCTAGCTCTGTCTTTCCTGTAAACCTGAGTGTTTCCCAAGTATTTATTCTTACTTCATCTACAACCAAGCCGGGCTCGGTGGCTCAGCCTGTAATCCCGCGCCTTTGGGAGGCTGAGGTGAGTGGATTGCCTGAGCCCGCGGGTTCAAGAACTGCCTGGGCAGGCGAGACCTCATCTCTACAATAAAATCAAAAAATCAGCCGGGCGTGGTAGCGTGCGCCTGTTATTCCGGCTACTCGGAAAGCTGAGGCGGAAGGTTCGCCGGAGCCCAGCAGGTCAAGGCTGTGGTGGCCGGGAGCAGCCACTGCACTCCAGTTTGGGCAACAGAGTGAGACTACAACTCAAAACAAACAAACAAACAAAAAAACACTTCATCTACAACTGCCCCTGGATTTACTCTTACTACTGTAACTTCTCTCTGTATGCTAATGAATCTTAAATTATAGCCCTTGTCTTCCACTCTCAGGACCTGGTCTAGATTGAGATATCTACATTTGGAAGATGGAACTGATTTGTTCATGTATTGCCTATCTATGATATACTAGGTTCTGTTCCAGATGCTAGATCTTCAGCCCTTCTAGAACTTATATTTTAATGGTAGAGGAAAACAAACTAAGAAATTTAATATAATGTCAAGAATTTATAACTTCACTGATGATACACAGAACAGGTTAAGGGACTAAAGAATGGCCAGAGATGCTGTTTTTGATATGTTGGTCAGAAAAGGCCTTCAGTCTAAGGGAATGTGATTTGAGCAGAGATATGAATCAACTGTGGATGTGAACCTTATAATCCAGAAGAATACAGTTTGAGGCAGAAGAGCAGGTGCAGACATTCTAATGCTTGACTTGTTCAAGGAACAGCAATGAAGCCAATGTTGGCTGCAGCACAGTGAACTAAAAGAGTGACAGGGAAATGAGGCTGAAGAGGTAGCCAAGGACTCTAGAGTATGTTGGACCTTATAGTCCATGATAAGAAACTTGTTTACTTTTTATTCTTAGATTTATGGGGAGCCAGTGGCGAGTTTTAAGTGGGAAATGACATAGTCTGTGTTTATAAAAGATCTCTCTCATTGCTCTATGGTGAAATGACTATAAAGAGATAAGAATGGAGGAAGGGAGCCAGTTTCAATAGTTGAAATTGTTCATTAAGGACAGTTGTAGCTTGGATTGAGTAGTAGCAGTGGCAGCAATGAAAGGCAGTTAAATAATGGATTTCTTTTGAAGGTTGAACCAATAATACTTGCTAAATTATTTGATCCGGGTTATGAAAGAGGAGACAAGATGACTCGTAGATATTAGGGCTGAGCATTTGAGGAGATAGGAATTGCCATTTATATTTTGACAATGATAAGCTTGAGACATTTATGGCATATCCAAATGGAATATGTCTATTGGCAATTGAAATATGCAAGTCTGGAATTCAAGAGTTAGTTTACAGATATAACTTTAGGAGTATCACTTTATACATGGTATTTAAAGGCATCAAGATAGAAAGAGATAGAGGCTAAAAGACAGCTGACTCCAACATTTAGAGTTTAGGAAGAGAAGGAAGAGCCAGCAAAGGAGACTGAGCAGGAGCTGCCAGTAAAATAGAAGAAACACCAAAAGAGTAAGGTTTTCTGGAAGACGGTTGAAGAAAATGTTTCAAGAAGGAAACTGTATGGCCAGAATGGTAGCTCATGCCTGTAATTCCAACACTTTGAGAGGCTGAGGCAGAAAGATCAGTGAGAACAGGAGTTTGAGACCAGCCTGGGCAACATGGTGAGACCCCCATCTCTAAAAAAAAAGAGAGAGAAAAGGAAAGAAAACTTAAAAAAGAGAGACTGTGATTAATTGGTACAAATACTCCTGAAAGGTCAAAAGAAATAAGAAGATACAGAGAAATGGGATTGTATTTGAAGGAGAATATTGGATCCAGGAGATTTGGGCTTTAAAAAACCTTTTTACTTAACTCCCTGAGGTTGGTGATTTTGTCTGTTTAGTTCATTAATATATCCTTGGCTGTTAGAACAGTGCCTTGCATGCAGTAGATGCTTAACAACTATTTACTGAATTGACCTGAATTGATAGGAATGGGAGAAATTGATGTAGGAAAGCACGATAATATTAAGAACAAAGAACCTTATGTAGGGGAAAGGAATGGGATTCGGTACACCCTAAAAGAGTTAGTTGGTTGGTTTTTTGTTTTTGTTTTTGAGTTGCAGTCTCACTTTGTCACCCAGGCTGGAGCCTGGCAGCCTCAATCTCCTGGGCTCCAGTGATCCTTCTGCCTCAGTCTCCCACGTAGCTGAACTACAGGCACGTGCCACCATGCCTAGCTAATTTTTTGATTTATTGTAGAGATGAGGTCTCACCAAGTTGCCCAGGCTGGTCTCGAACTCACAGGCTCAGGCAGTCCTGAGATTTACAATTGATTCCTATTTAGCAACAAAAGGAAACCAAGCCATTGATACATGCAACAGCATAGAGGAACCTTTAAAACATGCTAAGCAAAAGAAGTGAGACACCAAAGACTACTCACTGTATGACTCTGTTTCTATGAAATGTCCAGAAAACTCCACAGACAGAAAGTTGATTAGTGGTTACCTGGGGTTAAAGATGGGATGAGGATTGATTGCAAATGGGCATAACAGGCGATGAAAAATGTTCTAACGTTGGATTTTAGTGTAGCTACACAACTGTCAACCTATTAAAAATCATTGTGTGAATCTCATAGCATCTAAGTTTATTTCAGCAAAACTATTGAAATGTTCTTAAAAAGAGAAGACTAAGGAGAAAAAGCAGATAGGTAGACACACAGATGCATATTCTGACTGATTAAGAAAACTGAACATAACTAGGCATTCTCTAGTTTTCATAACACTATTGCATAGTATTATTTATATCACTGAGTTTTTGTGAAGTGCTAACTTAGTGTGATGAAAGAAGCTTGAACTTGAAGATCAAAAAACCCTGTGCAAATTCAAATTCTCCTATTTACTAATCATACCTTTAAGCAAGTTTCTTCATCACTTAAGTATCTAGTTCCTCATCTGTACGTGGTAATAATATTTTTGGTGTCTCTGGGATGTCATGGTAGAGTATGTAAAGCAAACCAATAGTCTGTGAATATAAGAGGTTTCAAGAGCTTCCTCAAGAGAAATAATACCAGTATTGATATTTTTAAAAATTCATTTTGCAAAGTGCTGACTAATAGAAGAAAATACAGAGAAATGGGTGAATATTTTCATTGTTTTATGCAAAATAAGTTCATTTTTTAATATTTATTTTTTAAAGATTGACTCCTTGATATATTTTTATAGTGTTTCAGGCTGTGAAAACTAGATTGGGACTAAAAAGTTTGGTAACCACATAATGTGTTTCCTTTTCCATTGAGACTCTAAAAAGCAACTTATACTTCTTATTTTATATAGCCCAGATTTTAGTACAGTTTTGAATACCTGTTTAAACCGAGGTTTTAGTAGACTTCTAGACAATATGGCTGAGTTCTTTCGACCTACTGAACAGGACCTGCAACATAGTAATTCCATGGATAGGTAAGTAAGATGACATGTAAAAATGTTATACTAATGAATGCTCTAAAAAAAAAAAAAGACATGGTGCTTTGTATGTGTTTATTTTTTGTTTCAGGCAACAAAAAAACTTTGGAAAGTAAATTTGAGTGTCTGATTTTTCAACAAATTAAGCTCTGTTAAACATACCATAGCTCTCTCTCATTTGAATATTAAAACTTGCATTTTTCCCAAAATCTTTGCCACTGTACTGAAGTACTAAGTTGTGAAACTACCTTTCTATAAGCCAAATTCCAATAACTGGTTTGTTTGTTTGTTTATTTTTTAACTCTTTAGAATACAAAACTGACAATGTTTTTAAATTGTAATATGTTCTCTAATATTATTCTATTGGTGCAAGCCATGGGTCTCCATAACTCAGTACTTTGGTTATTATAATAACCATGTATTCTTGTCAATTCCCTTTTAATGAATTATTATATCCTTATAGTTCTACAAATACTTAATTGTATTCATTTTCAGTCCTTATTTTAGGATTGAGAATATTTAGTTAGCACACTTGTTAGTAATTTTAATCATAACTATTACTAAGTCATGAACTTATGTTACCATAAGGTATCTTATGGTCTTATTATATCTTTATCATCATTTCAACATGAGCACCTTTGGTCTCATGTTAGAATGTGCACTCTTTAAAGGCCTCTGTTTTGCAGTTTTTTATATTAAACAAAAAATAATGAGCACTAAATCAGTGTTGACTGACTATAAACACCTTCATTAAAATTTGGGAAAGCAGTAACTGATATGCAAAATATGTATGTGCAATATCCAATTTAATTCTTAAATACATAGGGCAAGAGATTATTTTTTCAGTGCTCTGGTACCCTTCTTTATAGTATAGAAAAGAATATTTTGCCACTAACATTGAGCATTTGGAATTCTTAGAGCCATAACGTTAATTTTCTAAAGCAATTTAAATATCACCCTAAAATCTTTTAAAATTCTTTCAAGTTATACAAAAGTAAATTTCAGCTCAAGACCAATTATAAATACTGTCTAAATCATAGTGTTCTAATTAATAAAAGTTAACTCTAAGCTGTATATAGCAAGTTATTAGTTATTTCCCAAGTGGTGATAAAGAATTGTAATAGTTGTTTTGACATAAACAAATACAGGATCTTATATGCTGAAGAATTATAAAAAATTATACTACAACCACATCAGACAAAGTTTCATTACTTATGTTTGCTATAATTAATAATCCAGATACCTATAAAGGTCTGGATTGACCTCTTGGATTGACAAAAAAATGATGTAAACTAACAAAAGGTTAAATGTTATATTTATATAACTATCTGTAAATATATATTTATATGTGTGTATGCTATATATATATTACATATGCATATAATATATGTATATATGTGTATAATTCTTTACAAATAAAAATATTTCCTATCACCAATAATAACCCAATAGAAAATATAGCAGATAAAGATAAAACCTAAAAGGAGAGCTATAAGACTTAAGGTATGAATATAGATGGGAGAATCCTAAAAAAATTATTAGCAAATGAAATCCAGAAATATATAGCAACAGTAATAGCAGCTAATATTTTTTCATGTGCTAGTTTGATGATATAACATATCTTATTGAATTTTTAAAATAGCCTTAGGAGCCGGGCTCGGTGGCTCAGCCTGTAATCCCACGCCTTTGGGAGGCTGAGGTGAGTGGATTGCCTGAGCCCGCAGGTTCGAGACCCGCCTGGGCAGCAAGACCTCATCTCTACAATAAATCAAAAAATCAGCCGGGTATGGTAGCGCATGCCTGTAATTCCGGCTACCTGGAAGGCTGAGGTGGAAGGATCGCCGAAGACCAGCAGGTCGAGGCTGCGGTGGCCAGGAGCGACCACTGCACTCCAGTCTGGGCGACCGAGTGAGACTCCAACTCAAAAAAAATAAATAAATAAAATAAAATAGCCATAGGAAGTGCTAGTATTTTCTTCATTTCCAGTGAGGAGACTAAGGCACAGAAAAATTAAATAACTTTAGGTCAAATGGCTAAGAAGTGGTAAAGCCTGATGTTTAATAACTTCTGTTTGATATCAAAACCCAGAATTTTTAATTATTCTTTAATACTGTGATTAATTAAGGTTTATTTGAGGAATATGAGAAGGGTTAAAACTAAGAAAGCTATTATAGCAATTGATAACATTAATAAGTTAATAGGACAGAAAACATGCAGTGTTGCTGACAAGGCGGTCAATGAAACTTAACATTTATTGTTGATAAAACCTATTGCTAAAAACAAAAAAATACTTTTGTATATAATAACAGAATATTTGAAATTAAAAGCAAATGTGCTTAATAATATAACACTAGAATGATTTTCAGCATCATCCTATTATTCTATTCAATATAGTCAGACCAGTAAAAGATCAACTTTGAGAGCCAAATTCAGGAAAACTATTGATTTTTTTAAATGTATTTATCTTGAAAATAGACAACTTACTGAGTGACCTTTTTATTCTAATAAACTGTTCATTGACTCTTTATTTTCTAAGTTAAATTAATGCTATCTTTAAAAATGATATCAGTATTGGAAAGGGAGAGGGAAAACCTATTATTTGAAGGCAATAGATTTTATACTTAGAAAACAAAGAAGGCCAGCCACAGTGGCTCATACCTATAATCCCAGAGCTCATATACAGCGCTCATCTCTACAAAAAAAATTTAATATTAGCTGGTGTGCATCTGCAGTCCTAGCTACTCAGGAGGCTGAGGTGGGAGGATCACTTGAGCCCAGGTGTTTGAAGTTACAGTGAGCTATGATCACATCACTACACTCCAGCCTGGGCAACAAAGCAAGACCATGTCTGAAAAAGAAGAAAGAAAAAAAGAAGAAGGAAAACCAAGAGAATCAACTAAAAATTGTAAAATTAGCCTCACAGAATGAATCTATATGTGTGGTCAGAGTACTATCAAAATCTCATTGGGGATTGGAAGATGATTGTTTTGTTCACCTTAAACCTGACAAATGATAATAGAGGTAATCTGGAGGAATATGGGCTGACAATATGCTAGAAATTATGGAAAAAGAAGATATGCTCTCTCTATAGAATATAATAACAAAAAGTGTAATTAATAAAATAATGTTACTCATAAAAGAATAGGTAAATCTGTGGAGTAGAACATAAAATTCAGAAATAAGCCCTAAGCCAGACTCGGTGGCTCAACCTGTAATCAGCTCTTCTGTACCTTACATATAGCAAAAGAAAAAAAAAATTCCAAATCAAGCATTTAAATATACTAATAAAAACAAATGAGCTGGTAGAAAACAGCTGTCTCTACCTGATCTCAAGATGAAGATATTTCTAAGAATAAAGTAAAGAATTTTATATAAAGAAAAGGGTAAATTTTATATAAATATAATATTTACAACTTATGGATCAAATAAACTATTATTAGCTTTATAATCAACATGCAAATGATACGTTGGGGGAAATGTTTGCAACATATATGTCATACATAGAGTTTAATAGCATTATAAACAGAACTTTTACACATCAGTCAGGGAAGAAAAGAGCTAGAGAAATAATTTTATTTTGTAGAAGAAAATTTTGTGTCATAGATACAAACATAATTTACAAAAGAGCAGATACACATGGCCAATTTTTCCATTCATCTAACATTTGTTGAACAGCTGCTAAGGATCAGGCACTGTACTAGGTTTCTGTCCTCATGCATCTTACAGTCTAGTTGGGGAAATAGTAAACAAGTATGAACTGTGATAAGTATTATAAAGAAAAAGATTTTGAACATGGAAGAATTGAACAAACATGGAAAGTTGAGCAAAATTTCCCTCAGGATATAATTTGAACTGAGAACTAAAAGATAGAAAGCTATTCTTTACAGCCCTGGAACTGCAGTGGGTAGTTGACATTCTGGGCAGAGGCCACAGGATGAAGACTTTGAAGTCAGGTGGCCCAAGGAACATTTGAGGACCTGGAAGGAGGCTGGTATGGTGACTAAACAGAACTAGGAAAAGAGTGATGTGAGAAGAAGCTGGAGAATTCAGCACATGCCCGTTGTGGTTGTCATCCTGAGTACACTGGGGAGCCACGGGAGGATTTTGAGCCAGAGAGTGAGATGGTGAAATTTCTGTTGTACAATCACTTCGATTGCTTTGTGGAGAAGGAATTGGGGAATGTGGGGCTAGGGCAGGACACAGCAATGGGTGAAGCAAGACTTTTAGTAATCAATTCAACAAGTATATTTCTGGCACCCACTATTCACCAGGCCCTTTCTTATGTGCTGGGACAATACAGTGAATAAAATAAACGTGGTACCTCATAGAACTTACGTCATGGTGAGAGGGACAGACAGCAAGCAAGTAAAATCTTTACAGATTTTTTAAAATGCTACAAAGTTACCATGAAAGAGAATAATATCTGATTTCCTCAGGAATATATGAAGCTCCTCACTTCCTTTTTGCTTTTTAAGCATTGCCTCCAATCTCAGCATAGCACACTCTAGTTACACACTATAGCTTCAACAGTTTCATGATATTTATTTGTTTTGTTTTGAAACTTGCTGGTTCTCTTTTTTTTATTGTTTTAAAGATGTGAGGTACAACTCAGGGTTGGGTACATAAGAGGTCATATTTAAAAGGAAATTTTGGTCTTGGTGGTGACTAACACCTGTAATCCCATCACTTTGGGAGGCCAAGGCAGGAGAATCACTTGAGCTCAGGAGTTTGAGATCAGCCTGGGCAATGTAGTGAGAACTCATCTCTTCAAAAAAATTTAAAAATTGCCAGGCATCATGGTGCACACACATGATGGTCCAGCTACTTGAGAGGCTGAGGTGAAAGGATCACTTGAGTTCAGAGGTTGAAACTGCATGAACTGGGATTGTGCACTTTAGCCTGAGCGACACAGTGAGACCCTGTCACTAAAAATTTTTTTTTTAATTTTTTACAAAAAGGAAATTTCTGGTGCAGCCCTAGGTTGAAATGTATGAAATACAATATTTAGTGCAGTAAGACTAGATCTACAACCCACACATAAAAATTAGTGTCATCATTTAAGTCATTACACCACATAGTCATACATGTATGTATTTATTTATCCATCCAGCAAATGTTTATTGAGCTCTTGCAGGTTAGAAAGTCATTGCTTTAGTCCAGGCAAGAAGTAATTCTTTGCTTGGACTAAGTTTGGCAATGAGAATTAGACACTTTTAAGAAATAGTTAGGATATCTGATTAGATATAGGCAGAAGAAAGTGCCAAGGACAGTGACCAGGTTTCCTGCTTGTATAGCCTGATAGAGAATTCTGTAGTTCACCCAAGAAGGGGGAACAAATGTTCAACATTGATAGTGATTAAGAGAAATGCAGATTTAAACAATAAGATAACATTTTCACCTATCAGACATACAATGATTAAAGAAAAAGATAAAGTTCAATGTAGAAAGAAGGCATGATGGAACAGGTCGTCTGCTGAGGAAGCAGAGGATATTTAGCAATATACATTACATGAGAAGCCTTAAAAACATTCATACCCATTGACCTAATGATTCCATGTTTATACAAAGAGTTACTTGTATTAAGGAGAATTAGGCAAAAACTAAAATGCCCAACTCTATGGAGCTGATGATAGAAATTGTCACAGCTAGAGGATAGATTACTATATAATATTAAACAATCAGACTAAAAAGTTTAAAAGAACTTTTAATAAGATGTAAAAATGCATATAGTAATAAAAATGCAAAAACCATATGCCTGGGAGTTTAGAGTTTTATGTTTAAAAGCGCAAAAAAGGGCAACCCCTTCAGGTCACCGCCCACTATGGGGTTTTTTTCTGTCCTCTCAATAAATCCTGCTTTCTAAAAAAAACACAAAAAAGCAAAGACATATGTAAAATTACCACAAGAATTGTAATTGCTAATTGTTGTTATTTGTAGGTGATAGTTTTATTTTCTTTTTAATAGATTTCTGTGGGTATTCTTCAATAACTGTGTATTACTTTTATAATTAAGATGCTAAATTCCTGTGAAGTAATTCAGAAAATAATGGTTGCTGTGATGATTTTTCAGTCTTTCCAGTGTCAGCCTGCCTTTAGCTAAGATAATCCCGATAGTAAATGGACAGATCCATTCAGTCTGCAGTGAAACACCCAGTCATTTTGTTCAGGTAAGAAGAAAGCTGGATATTAAAAACAAACTGTATTCTTGGTATGGTCATGTTTGTCTAACATAAAATTACATTCTCTGCTAAGACATTTGTTCAAAAAAACACAAAACCTGGAACTACGTGTAGAATGTAGTAGAATCTCCTGTAAGAGTGATAATGTATCACAACAAATGTAAGGGTGGAGTACCTTTCTCCATGTCATAGTCCAGCACCTGTTGGACTGCACTTTAGTTCAGGTATGTTATAGTGGCCAGTTGAATTTATATAGCATTAATATTTTTCATTAAGCTGTACTAGTAAGAAGATTGAGGCAGGTCAAAGAATCAGTTCCTTGAATTTTGAGAAAAACTAAAAAATTTTGTGGTGAAGTAAAGCATTTTAGTAATTAATAAAATATAACCATCAATAATTCCTTGATAATCTACTCACTAAAAGCTGCATACACAATGGGTTATTTAAGTTTTTCACTAGACTACCTATAACTCTATCTTCTTTCTTGGGAAAGCATTTAAAATGCATTGAGTAATTCAGTAATTCATTGAGTAAGACAGATGTTAGTAAGATAATTTTGAATCCACAGATTTTGTTTCTGAATCATGTGCAAACTTGTACTATCAATAAGAAAAATTACTTGCAATACACTTCATTTGCAAACTACTGCAGTAATGTACCATGAGAAGCAACCCTAAGGCCAATCAGTGTAAGAAAAGAAGTTATAACTTCTGGCATTTAAATCTTAACTGTACCTTTGTTCACCTCTGTAAAAGTCTCTAGCTGTTCATTCTGACAGATAAGTAAGAATTTTAACCAAGCATAAAACATCATCAGCCTTAATGCTTGACTAATTTTTTGTACTACATTTTAGTTAGAATCTATGTAATTGATAATAAAATCAAATGTTTCATTGTGGCAAAAATACCATTGATATTAATGTTTAGTGAAGCTTTTTAGTGTGACTAGATATATATTATACTAGACTGTTGATTGACAAGATTTCCACAAGATTTTTTTTTTTTAAACTCCCAAATGGTCAGGGTTTTCTTTCTTTTTAATTATTTTTATTTAATTTTCAAACATCCATATAATTTTTTAAACTATAGTTTCTCAATTAAAATACTGAGTGGTCAAGTCAGGTTGCCGTGACTCACACCTGTAATCTCAGTACTTTGGGAGGCTGAGGTGATAGGATTGCCTTGGCCCAGGAGTTAAAAACCAGCCTGGGCAACATGGCAAGACCCTGTCTGTACAATAAATTAAAAAATTAACTGGGGGCCAGGATCAGTGGTTCAGCCCGTAATCCCAGCACTTTGGGAGGCTGAGGCAAGTGGTTTGCCTGAGCCCTGGGGTTTTATACCAGCCCAGACAACTTGGCAAGACCTCATCTCTATAATAAATCAAAAATTAGCCAGGCATGGTAGCAGTAGCATGCACCTATGGTTCCAGCTACCTGGAAGGCTGAGGCGGAAGGATCACTGGAGCCCAGTGGTCGTGCCTATGCCACTGCAGTCCAGCCTGGGTGACAGTGAGACTCTAACTCAAAAAAAAAAAAAATTAGCTGGGCATGGTAGCATGCACCTGTAATCCTAACTACTTGGAAGTCTGAGGCAGAAGGATCAGAAGCCTGGGTGATAAAATCAGACTTCAACACAAAAAAAAAGAAATGGTCCTTTTAAGTTAATAAATTGTCCTATGCTCTATTTCCATCTATCTTTCATAAAGGCTTTGCCTTGATTAGAATGTTAATTTGCATAAAATTAATTCTTTCAAATTACTGCTACTACTTCAACCACAAAAGGGTGTAGGAGATCCTATTGTAGGGATTGGCAACACTGTAAAGAGTAAATATTTTGGACTGTGTGCAACATGCATTCTCTGCAGAAACTACTCAGGTCTGCTTTGGTAGCATGAAAGCTGTCATAGACATACACGAACAAATGAGTGTGGTAGTTTCGATAAAACTTTATACGCAGAACAGGCTGCAATGGATGTGGCCTGCAGGCCATTCTTTGCCGACCTCTGTGGTATTAGGATGGTAGTATGGCTGAGAAAGTTAGGAAATGGGCGATTCAGAAAACAATCAAGAGAAGTCGTTTTCTGAATTATTTCCAAATTACTTTCAAATAAAGGAAACAAATAATTTCAAATTGCTTTCAGTTAACATAAGAAGACAGCTTTTATATTCTGAACCAATCCTGTGATACATAATTTTTATCCCAGACTCCTGAAAACATCCTGGAAGCTGTATCAGGATACAGTGTTTGAACAGATACAAGTCTTTACTGCAAAGCTGGGGTCAGAAAAGCATGGCCTATAAGCCAAATCCATCCAGCCACCTGTTTTTGTAAGTTCTGTTGGACGACAGCCATGTCCATAGGCTTATCTAAGGTTTATGCCTGCTTTTGTAACACAATGCTAGTGTCTCAAACTTGTTCATGCATCTCACATAAATACATATATCACAGACCTCTAGTGTTTAAAGTATTTTATCATATACATTTAAAAACTATATAACTTACGCTTAGAGCTTTTTCATAACTCAAAAATCAAAGTACATTTTTCATTAAATGGAATCTAAACTACAAAAGCAAACACACCTTACTATAACAGGCTGATGGCTGCTCATTCGTTGAGCCAAAGTGAGTGTAGACCTGTCTGCTACTGCTCATGTTATTGAGTATCTAACCTGCAGCTTCTACACCTAGTTTGCTGGATGTTTTTTTAATCTGCTGTAACTATTCTGAAAGTTTCATTTGTATTATGTGAGTTCTATTATTTGGCCTTCCTTTGAAAGATTGTCTACCTCTGTTCTTTCCTCATTAGCGCAAGACAGTTAATGCTACTTAAAGCCCAAAAGAACATAAACATAAAGACAAAAAGATGCCCTAAAATCAGGGACAATACTAAGTTATGTTTTATCTTCCAAATAGTCCAGAGTATGTTTGAGTTTTCTTTTAGATTTTCATAGAATTCCCTCTCAAATTATCAGGCCCCTGAAAGCGTGTCTGTAAATCCTGGTTTGAGAAATGCTGATCTAAAACTGTATTTCATTGAACATCCAGACTGAATACTTGAAGGTAAACAAACTCTCTGATGAGAGAATTCATCATGAAATGATTGATGTCAGGTCTTGCCTAAAGTTCACTTGGGTTTTCTGATGCTTAAGAGCAAACACAAGACCAGGTTTACTTCGTATTTCTCTGATGTTCACGGACACATAAGGTTTTAAAGGAAACCAATTATAGTGTTCAGAATATCTTTTAAAATCAAACTCATGATATAGCAGTATTGCTTCTTTATTCATGCATTAAATACCAAGATGTAATGGGAGTTCTGATAACTTCCACAACTGTCATATAATATGGAAATATCTATGATTTCTATTAAAGACAAAGTCACACATTCTGCTAATATCATCACAGTTTGTTGCCAACATTCATAATTGAAGGAATGCCAGATTTTAGTTATAAATTAATGAAAATAAAGATGCATGCATTTTTTTCTCGTCTTTACATTCACAAATCCCTTGGGAAGTTAAAAACCCCTGCTCTAAAGTGCATACTTGTAGTTGGTGTATGTGTGGATACATAAAATATGCACATGTTACATATACACATATCACATGTTAGATCTTCTAGAAAGTAATATCCGGACCATGTTATGTCAGCTCCCAGCAAAAGTACCTTTAGTCTTATACTTTTATTTTTATTTATTCAACAGATACTTACCTAGTACTTGATATATACAAAAAAAATCCATTTGAAGACTATTTTAGTCACGTTTGAATGCTTATCGTACACCATCTCTCATATAAGAATCTAAATAATAACTGTATCCTAGAATTTATTGCAAGAAAAAATATTCATTTTCTTAAATGATTTGCCTCTTGACCTTTACCACAAAATTTAGAGCTGAGTTCATTGTTTGAAGAAATGAATTCAAGTGATCTATGCTTTTTGTGAATGATAATGTTACATTCATCTTTGCTAGGATCTGTTGACGATGGAGCAAGTGAAGGACTTTGCTGCTAATGTATATGAGGCTTTCAGTACCCCTCAGCAACTGGAGAAATGACTTTCATTCGAGGAAAACTACAGTGGGAATCATTTACTTTTAAAAATACACTGAATAAATCAACTATTCCTAGAGTAGCAATTTGTTACCAAAATGCCTAATAAAAATATATTCTTAATCAAAGTCTTCATTTCATAATGAAATAGATTTATTTGCCATCTTAATATATTTTTTTAAATTCATCAACAGACCAGTTTTTGTGGGCATATATAAGTGTATACATATGAAAATATCAGAACTGTGAATAATTTGTTATACATGGACATTAGTTCCAAACTGACTAAAAACTAATGTAGATACTTTTATATGCATATATAGTATGGAATGCAGTATACTTTGATATTAATACTGAGGAAAAATCTATTGGGGAGATAGACCTATAATGTGTGAAGTTTAGAAAATATGCTATTTAATCATAGTACTTCCTGGACTGCTGTAAGCAGAAGTGAATCAGACTTTTCTGCAGCTGCCCTTCCAAAGGACAGATTATTTGTCTCAAATATACCTTTATGGAGGACTTTTCTTCTTTGGGAATCAGTGAATTTTAACAACTATGATCAGCTACTTTTTTCTTTGCCCTTTCTTTCCTATATTTTCTAAGGTTTTATTAACAAGCCTTAGAAAGTTACATATTGATTTTGAGCCTAAAATTGTGTTCATGCTGTTTGCTCACAGTTAGTATTAATTATATAGTTTTATTCATTTGTATATAAATAATTTTAATAACTTACTTTGTATTGATTTTTGAGTACAGTGAATATCTCATTGCAATAAACTATTTTAGTAAAATATCGTTCTGTTGAGTTAATACTTTTCAACTATTAATATATTTGTCCCATAGCATTTTTGCGTTATTTTGGAAGAAAAAGCATACTAGCTTTTAAATTTCATTTTAACTGGTAGTATACTTGATGCTTTCTTTTAACTTGTTCATTTAGAAAAAAATAAATACACTAACTTCTGAAAAAGAAAGAATTCATTGTCTTAGTAGTACATCTGTTGTTCTGCATTTAGATGGACACTTAGGGCAGAAATAAATGAATTACTATGTGTCATTAATAGATATATTTTCAGTAAAACATAGCATTTTCAGTAATACTATTTCATGTTCCTCCAATGTAACATGTAGCTAAATAGTAGAAGGTGGAAAATGAATTGTGAAGTCTCCTAAAGCCTGGATAGACCCGGTGGTGATGGTTGTGTTTTTTTTTTTTTTTAATGGTAAAAGTGGAGAGGAGGACAAATGTTTCTTTTCAAAATTTGGCAAAATATAATGATATTATCATCTCTAATGTTGGAAAACGGAATGTGTATGTTATGGGCATGTGTTTCTTCTAGTCTTCTAGCAATATTAACCCGGGATTTCATCTAGGAAAAATTGGAGACTTAACAGATGTGACCTTGTAAGACAGAAATTTGATCAGCTGAAAAACAACATCTGGAGCCATCTGCATCTGTGCAGTTGTGTCTATTGAAGAGGTAATAAGGTAAAAACCACATATATTTAAAATTAAATGTTTTTAAACATTAAATATTTGCCTTCTAATAATGCTACAGGAGCCCTCTCATCTGAAACCCTTAGTTGTTGGCCTAATCCAAGAAGTCATTTAAAGCACAGTACGATTAAAATATGTATTTTTTAACTTAAAATATAAATATTCTACATTTGCCCATTGTTTACTATAGGACCCAGGTTTTCCTAATCTTTCAGTAAAAGTCCACTCAGCTGGGATATTGGTGGTAGTGGTTAGCATAGCTGCCTTCCAGTAGAGGCCCACTGATAGGTATTCCCTAATTGTCTATCTTGAACTCCAGACCTCAAGGATCCTCCTAACTTAGCCTCCCAAGTAGCTGGGATTACAGGCTAAGCCACCATGCCCAGCTCTAGTTGTCTTTCTCATACAAATCACATGCATTACATTACATAGGTATGAACCAGAGATGCAGAATTCTTGTAGGTGTTTACTGTATTTTTCTCCAATTCCTTAGAACTACACTTAATTAACCAGTAACTTTTAATTTTTGTTTTTACTTTTAAAGATAACATGCTTTTTATCTAGTCTGTCCAAAGTATTTAACTTGACTTTCACAGAAATTCCAACTCTTCATACTCATATCTTTGGCTTATATAATCATCATTAGAAGTTCAGGTGGCATAATCAGTTTGTTTGGTGACTGTTTTAGTTTCTTAGAACTGCTGTAACAAATTAGTACTTGGTCAGGCACAGTGGTTCATGCCTGTAATCTCAGCACTTGGGGAGGCCAAGGCAGGATGATCGCTTGAGCCCAGGAGTTCGAGATCAGCCTGGGCAGCATAGTGAGACCTCGTCTCTACAAAAAATGTACAAATTAGCTGGACATGGTGACCCTCGTCTGTAGTCCCAGCCACTTGGGAGGCTGAGGCAAAAGGAATCGCTTGAGCCCAGGAGGCTGAGGCTGCAGTGAACCAGGTTCATGCCATTGCATTCACAGCCTGGGTGACAAACTGAGACCCTGTTCCAAAATTTAAAAATTTATAAAAATTACCACTAACTGAGTGACTTAAAACAACAGAAATGTATTCTATCAACAGTTCTGGTGGCTAGAAGTTCAAATTCTAGGTATCAGCAGGGCCTTGCTCTCTCTGAAGGCTCTAGGGAAGATCTTTCCAGTCCTTTCTTACCTCTTCCAGTTCCTGGAGGCCCCAGGCATTCCTTGGCTTATGGCAACATAACTCCAATCTCAGTCTAAAATTGTCTTGTTTGAATTTCAGTAACTTTTGATTTATCTTTAATAACTAGAGAAATATTGAAGGCAAACCAGTTTTTACTGAATAATCTAGACATTGATATTGATCTTGCCATTTTAAACATAGACATTACTTTAATAAAATTTATCTCATTTTCTTACAAGTGTCATATTGAGACAACGTAATTATTCTAGAAGGTCAGGTTATTCAGATAAATATGGCCATATCACATGGCCCTGTATCCTTTTCTGTCTCTTATAAGGATACTCTCATGGATGTAGGGCCTACACACATCCTTTATGAGCTTATATCAATATTTACCTAAATTACATCTACAAAGACATTTTGGCTGGGCTCGGTGACTCAGCCTGTAATCCCAGCACTTTGGGAGGCTGAGGCGAGTGGATTGCCTGAGCCTGCAGGTTCAAGACCAGCCCAGGTAACTTGTTGATCCTTCATCTCTACAATAAATCAAAAATTAGCCAAGCAAGGTAGCGTACGCCTGTAGTTCAGCTACTTGGAAGGCTGAGGCAGAAGGATTGCCAGAGCCCAGCAGGTTGGTGCTGGGGGGCCATTAGCGTGCCACTGCACTCCAGCCTGGGTGATAGAATGAGACGCAAACTCAAAAGTAAAAAAGAAAAGGACACTATTTCTTAGGGAGAATGCATTCTGAGGGTCTAAGTACATAAATTGTTGGGGAACACTATTTGACCTACTACAGTCAACAACTCAAATTAACATTTGGTAAATTGGAGCAAATGAGAACAGAAGTGCAGGTTATGTCTATTGACAGAAAGTCTGCAGTTTGTCCTAAGCATCCATCAGTGTGCTTTTCCAAGGAAATGGAGAGCATCAGTAAATCTAGTGAGTTGATTACATGGAGATTGCTTAAAAACTGTGACTCCTTTTTCTTTCAAACTTGCATAAATGCATTTGTTACTGAGTGTATATAAAAAGTTCATATGAGTGTTTTATTTGTTTGAAGTTAGACAGGAATATTCTTATCTAATCAGGTCTTTTACTTACAAAAATAACATGAGCAGAAGGCAGAACATCTGTCATGTTCTGTTGTCCTCATTCATATTTATCTAAGTAACCTGACCTCTTAGAATAATTACATTGCCTCAATATGACACTTCTAAGAAAATGAGATAATTCTTATTAAAGTGTTATCTACATTCAAAACGGTAAAATCAACATCAATGTTTAAATTAGTATAATCTGGTTTACCTTCAATATTTCTCTAGTCATTAAAGATAAATCACAAGTTACTGAAATTCAAACAAGGTAATTTTGTACCTATTATTAATAGTAACTCTAGGAAAAGAATTGGTTGGAGAATAAAAACTATTGCCTCAAAAAGGTATTGAGAAGCCTGATTTTAATTACTTGCTATAATTTTTGCCCTCCATGCCACAGATAATTTTAAGAATTTGCTAAAGTGTTTTTGAGTTCTTATTGCGAACCAGTTACAGTACATTTCACATGTAAGCAAGATACACCTTAAATAGATTTAAATTTGGGGTCTTACTTTTTCTTCTATAGTTATCTGGTTATTGGCAAAACATTTCATCAACACGTCTGAATGCTGCCCTGTTTTTTGTCAGTTAGCTACTCATGTACTAAACCTTTCAGCTAACTATCATTTGCTTAGATATTTTCATTTTTCCCCTAATTCTCAATTTTAAAAGGTAAAACTGGACAGGGTAGGAATTTAAGTGGTGACAGGTTTTAGTCTCAAAAAATACTTTTCTTCAAGCAAACGGATGACCTTACTTTTGTGTTAAGATTATCAGTGCAAGGTTTCTGAAAGATTCTCTTGAGTTTTCAAGGTATAGGATCATATTATCAACAAAGAGGGATAACTTCCTCTTTTCCTATTTGGGTACCGCTGATTTCCTTCTCTTGTCTGATTGCTCTAGCTAGTTTCCAACACTATGTTGAACGGGAGGGGTGAGAGTGGGCAAGTCTTGTCTTGTTCTGGTTTTCAGGGGAAATGCTTCCAATTTATGTCCATTTAGCAATATGTTGGCTGTGGGTTTATCATAGATGGCTCTTTCTATTTTAAGCTATGTTCCCTCTATGCGCACACATTTATTGCCATTCACAACAGCAAAAACATGGAACCAACTGTGCTGCCCACTGAAAGTGGACTGGAGTTTTTAAAATATGGTACATATACATAATAAAATATTATGCAGTCATAAAGAAGGGAAAAATTAAGGACTTCGCAGCAGCTTGGACTTAGAGTCTGTCACACTCAGTGATCTATCGCAGAAACAAAGAACTGAGAATCACATGCTCTCACTCATAAGTGGACCCTGAACATTTATCATAATATTTTAAGAAAAGACTACATTACTGGGACACTGCTGGGGGGGGGGGGGGAGCACATAACATTAATAAGGGTACCTGATTCTAAACCAGGCAAAGTGGGGACCGAAGGGAGGCCCAAACTTCACCTGTACAATGCCAGCTTATGTACCTCATCCTGAGTTGTGCCCCACATCTTTAAAATAAAGAAGTATTAGCCCATGATAATAATTTTTAAAAGATTCCTGTGGGACTGTTTGGTTTGGGGATTCTTTTTAGTTGTTTTTTGTTTGTTTGTTTTTTCTCAGTCCAGTGTTGAGATCATAAGAATCTATGCACGTTGCGTCTCTAGTAAAATGTTAATTGGGATTCAGGACTATTAAAGTATTTATCCATGTAAATACTATGGCATGATTTTAAATTTTTAACAGGGGCAGGACTCCAACAATGAATCATTCTTTTTTTTTTTTTTTT